TAATTGTAGCTCCACGAAAATGGCTAATAAAGTTTCCGCAAAATAACTCGTTGTTGACAGTCAATGTGTTAACTATAAGACATGTTTTTTATTTCAAAATAATTCATTACATAGAATTTTTAAAAATTCAATTTTTAAGGTTATATATATATTTATTTTTTAAAATTTATTTTATTTGTTAAACCTTCAATATATATTGCAGCAAATAATGTATCGCCTACGAATTCGATTTTTGGAAACATTTTGTGCTCATCTCAAATTATATATTTTTCATTGCTATTTAAGAGAGTAGCTGCGGTAGCTGGACTTTATAATAGAAAAATAATATTCACTTCGGACTTAGGAGAATTAAATGATATTTATAGTTGTTAAATTCTATTTGAAATCTTCACCTAGAGTGTAATACGATATTGTAGAACAAGGAGTTAAAAAGTGCAATTAAAATATTGTTCACATCAAGAAAACTCTGTTGCTCCTACAAGACAGATTGTTTGTACAATGAAGGCGGATAGAACTTTCGCAGCAACCTAATACTTGCATCTTCCAAGCTAGTCTATTTAGCGGGTGGCGCGTGCGCGCTCATTCCCGCGCGTTATCCAGATTTACATTTTCCCGCGGTGGAAACGCTTTTTCCCGACGAACGCCTCTATTTGCAGAGGCACAAAGCGAGTGACTAAGAGTGGCAATCTCAACGGGATACGTGTCGCCACGGGACAACATGTCCCGTATAACAACGCATCCCTCTCTCTCTCTCTCTCTCTCTCTCTCTCTCTCTCTCTCTCTCTCTCTCTCTTCTGTTTTCTACCAGCTCACTCTCTCTGCTCGAGCGTTCGCGCCCGTAGACGTGGATTTACAAGTTCGCTGGGAGACACGCAACACCCACGCGTGAGACGAGTTTTGGACGTGGTCGATGAAGCACCGGATACGATAACGCTGTCGGCTCGGAGATGGTGTTAACGCGTTGGTCGTTGACCGTGTTTATCGGCAACCAGAGTCGCTGAGTTATTTGACCCTCTCTAATCTGTAAGGGTTTTTGCTAAATATGTTAGCGTCAAGGTAAAAAATAGGCGCGTGTTAGAATTTGATAATGTACGATTATCGCTGATTTTTAAAAGGATTATTTATTAACTTTTAGTGTTAACATTTGAGTGCCAGGGGAAATTTTGATATATGTTCGAGAAATGCCAGACAATTTTAAACAAAGATGCATGATTATAAATAAAAAGTTATATTTTGATCAATTTTGATCTGAAGTTGATACAAATTGTATATAATACTAAAAACATGTTAGATTTCCTTTATTAGTAATACAATTTTTAAAAGGGTTCTAGTTAATAGTTTTATAGCTTTGATTATTTACGTGTAACCGTACTGATGAATAATAAGTTAGTGGTAGAAAGTGTCAGAAATTAGAAAGCCTTGTATCGGGAATTACAATTTCTCAGCCTAGCCATTGAGTGATATCCTAGTATTACAGCTGGGAGATCACTTGATGTTTAACGGAACGGTCCAAATGCAAGAGGTTTCTTTCTAGTTAACAGTTTTATAACTTTGATTGGTTAGGTGCAACCGTATTGATGAATAGTAAATTAGTGATAGAAAATATCAGAAGTTAGAAAATAGAAATAACAGAATATTGGGTGTGAAATATGAAAACATTGATGGATCAGAAACAGTAAATTAGTCACAGAAGGTATCGGAAATTATGAAATAATATTATCAGATAATTAAGTTAGGTAAAATGAAACCTGATCGATCAGCTGAATTCCTCAATTTAGCCATCGCGTGATCTAACAATACACGTGAACGAAACGCAGACGGCAGGCGTTGGATTTTTCCTTCGTCCAGATTTTCTTACAGTAGATTTGTTATCCACACGTTTCGTTGAAAGTTTAGTCGTGTAAACTTTCAAACTTGTATCTTTTGGACTTGAAAAATTTTGTTAATATCAAATGCATCAATTTGTAATGAAACATTCAAATAAATATTTAAATATTCGTAACTGAATTAAAAAATAGAATTATTCTATGCTAGTGATTCATATATTAACGCATTATACAAACACTTGATGTTGAATATCTAATTTGATTATTTTGTTCAAAGCTATTTGAACAATTCAAATTAGAATTCAAGTAATATGATTTAAATATGATATTTTTTTATGTTTCATACCGCGCATTTAAATTTTGTAAATTTTCCTAAATTCCCCCATTGAAGTAAATTTAAAATTTTTTAACGTACTTAATTAACTCTAATGATCAACTCCCTCTGAAATTAAAGCTCAATCAAAGCGGCCGACATTCAACATTTCGCGGACAAAAAAAATCTCGCTCGTGGAAGTGGCGCTTTTTGGAGTGGAAGCCCGTACGGGGATTTAATTTTTCCCCTGATCACTGCGTGAGTTGCTCACGAAATGCTTACAAAGGAATACTTTTTCGCTTATATCGTCTGTGATTAATGCCTACTATTTTAGGTGTAGAGTCGTTTTTCGTTTAAACTTTCTAATGGTGTTCACGTTTTCTTGTTTATGAAATATCAAACTAATATTGCTTTCAAAAATTTATTCTGAACAAAACGAGTGCATACGTATCTAAACTTAATAAAATTCTAACGTAGATACAAATTATAAATTTCCGATAGCTATTTTTTTATCATATTTAATAATTGCACTAAATGTCGCCAGTTTTAAAAAAATTATTAGATATTCATTTTCTTTAGTTAAAAAGAGATTGGTAAAAATAAAAACTTGTTTTCAACATTAAAAATTGTAACAAGTGTAGCATAAAATAAAATTTAAAGTAGGTTAAAATTTAATTAAGGTTAAGATAAAAATACGATTTTCCAATCATTTCATGTATATTCTTGTCAAGGAAGACGAAAATCACATTCAAAAGCTTGTAAATGATACCTACAATTAGATATTCTTCCACTCTTAACATAATTTTTATATAAGAATCATGTTTTTCACAAAAAAATTTGTCATCCACTGATTTTAAAAATAATCAATATAATTTGAATATCAAAACAAATGTATTCAAAGTAAAATATTTCTGTACAATCTACAATCTGTAATCCATGATTTTTATAAAAGGTACGTACAAAAAATACGAACGTTCGTATTTTGTTGTTAGTTTTAAAACCTTACTGATTATATTGTTCCATGGACACTAAACATCACTATATACTCCAGAATCACTGATCTAGACCCTAAAATCGAATCATCTCAGGTAGCTTAATTACTAATTAAGGATCTAGGAGAACTCATAATTCGTGTAACAAATACAATATGTTTTTTCATCAATATTTTCCCTTCTTACTTTAGTACAATCGGATATAAAATTTTTAATAAAAGAACGTATTTCGTCATTAGTTTCAGAGTCTTATTGATTTTATTGTTCCATGGACACTAAGCATCACTACATACTCCAGTATCCCTGCTCCAGACTCTAGAACCGAACCATCTCAGGTAGGTTAATTATTAATTAAGAATCGAGAGGGGCTCGCAATATCCGCGGTGGCCAACATGTCCGTCCTGTGTCAGGTTATTGTAAACGGATGCTTTACACCGGCCCCGTAGTCGAAATCAATAAACCGATTATTGGTAGGGCTGAACGGAGATTATGTTGCTTTGAATTGACACCCCGACACGGGCTTCGGTGCCGATTGAATTTCGCGGGGACTTTCCTAGACGGCCGGACGTCCGTCCCAGTTCCTTTTTACCACGTCCGACACCGTAAAATCACGCTCAATGTAATCCTTGCGGACACCGCCGCGAGAGGAATCGATCTTTCGTCGTCGGACCACCACCGGAGCGAAGTTTCCAGGCATTATGCGGCCACGTTGTTCCCTTACACGCCGGCAAACAATACGACCGGCTGCTCGCCGGGGAAAAAATATAACGGGGCATTCCTGGACGAAGCTCTTTTTAACGCCGTCTATTTATTTAACGGTAAAATGAGTGACCGATATAAATAGGACATTATTTTCTCTTGTTTTCTTTTCTACGCGTGACACGGTCCACCGTAAACGGCTGGAGCAGAGGAAGTCAACATGACATTTTGTTCGTATAACGGATCCAAGGGAAGAATAACATTATGATGATGATAAAAGTAGAGTAAATAAATAAAATTTATTTGAACCATTGTGCTATGATTTATTTCGTGACTATGGTAGATACAACTACTTTATCGTTAACACCTTGGCGTATTATTTACTTTGGCTACTGAGCTCGTCTAACAGTTTATTATCGACGATTTGGAAGAAATGCAACGAAATTGTCCATTCTACTTTAAGTGGAAATTTCATTTGAAGATAATACAGTGATAATAGCAAAATACTTTAATTCTTTGAGCTATTGGCCAATGAACGACATTGAGTTTTGTTAAATTCATCTAGAAATCTTCATAACAAGTCTCACTCGTCATTGTATGGCAAGGGGTTAATAATTTATTAGAAAAAATAAAAATTTTAAAAAACGGGTATTCATTCTACTAATTATATTATAGACAATTGTTTGTTCCTTATGAATTTAATAATTCATAATATGGATAATTCAAAGAATTTTTAAATAACCTTATAACCCAATTATAATTTTCTTCTAATACTAGTAATAATCAATAAATATCTATATTAATCAATAAATGTATACCGTTATTTGTAACTTACTTAATGTTAAATACATATTTAATATTTAATATACTTAACATATAATTATTCAATTATCACAATAAATAAGGAACTTACACAACTTACACAATTTTACAAATTCTTCTAGACCTTTAAAAAATTAAAAGTAATCATAGTATTTATTCGTTTCAATGATATTTATCGAATTTGCCAAAAACGTGTGTTCCTTAGCAATGAACTATTCACTTTATACCATACGAATAAATTAAAACGCGACAAAACTTCTCAACGAATTCGAAAGTTCACGAAAACTTCGATTCACTTTGCTAGAGGGCGTCGAATCTATTGATCAACAATCACACTGGGAACCATGTCGGAATCATCAGCAGATTGTACGCTGTTTGTGAGAAACAATGGGTCAAACGATGGGTCGTATGCCAAACACGTGGAACGGTTTACTAGAAGAGAAGGATCGCGTGTTATATTGGAGCGGCGAAGTACTGGCCAGAGTGGCCGACAATGTTAGCCAGGAAGAATCATTTCAGATTGATTACGGAAATGATTTTATCGAACGGAAAATTGATTCTTGGGTGGAGGCCAGTGAATGGAGGATCGACAAAATTTTCAGTAGACGCAGGAACGTGACCGAAGAACATAGAGCTTATGTAACGAGAGAAATAGAGCAAGTGATTATTAGTGTATTGTTTCTTCGAGATTAACACGTTGTTTGCCACAAGAATATGAGCATCTGTGCAATGTTAGTTATTCTATCACAACGATGGTAAATGGTATTAGAATTAATTACTAATGATTTGGCATTATAGCTACTGAGTTATACTATTACTTAATTACGTATGTAACTAAATATTTTGATTTGACATCGGTTTCCCTCTCGTCATTGTTTTCGAACAATTTGTAAGTGTTAACCAAATTGAAAATGTTTATATATCTGTGACATTTACTAAACCGTTAAAATCAGGAAAATAAGGATTTGAATATTCAAATAAAAGTATTTAACTTTTGACAGTATCAATGGATGATTGTCATTACAGATATTTTTTAAAGGTAAGTACAGTAATTTCTAGTAATGTGAAAACTGTACATTTGAGGTAATACACGATGACCAATTAAATAATTTATTAATTCAAATATTATGATAAAGGACGAGATATATTATTATAAATTCATTGAATGTTTCAAAAACATTTAATTAATTAATCTTATTAAGATATCATACACTTATTCAGTAGTAAAAATTAAAATGTTAAAAAAATAGTAATTATATACGTATTAATTGCATATTAAAAAATGTGCACACATAAAAAGGCAAGAATAATAATCCTATAATTACTAATATGAAGGAAAAAATTCCATTGTTCCATCGTTTGTAATCCGTATAAAAAAGTGGCAGTAAATTCGTGATATTGATAAATCTGCGAATGAACTGACGACATTAACAATTTTGTTACTTAATCCAGATAAAAGAAGAACTGAGGATGAAGATGAAGAAGGATTACCGAGAAGGTTATAGGGAGATAAGGAAGCTCTCGAAAAAGGTGGACGATTTGGGGAGCCAGCAGCGAAGGATACACGCTAAAATTCATGAACTTGAGGATACCTGCGCTGGGAACGTGGGGAAATTCCAAAGGAAGTTCGGCCCTTTACGACTGAAAACGTTCAGGAACCTCGTAATAAGCGAAAAGTTCATGTTCAAAGATAGAAGGCTAAAAGCGAAGTTCATCAAACAGGTATAAATAACATCCATCAATTTCCTAATCCTTTAATAGCTCTTTAATTGCACCAATAAACGTCGTTAAACTGTAAATTTGATGTACTTAAATCGTACAAGTCGATGCAATGTTCAGTCAGCACATTAACCTCTTTCCCTATTATTTACTTCTCAAATATGATCGATACAACTACTTTGTCATTAATAATTTATTAAAATCGGAGAAAAATTCTAAGTATATTTTCGGTACGCTCATGTTTGTTCTAAAATACAATTATTGATAACAAAAAGATAATGTTTCATTTGAATTCAAAACAATGGTAACATTTATCCTTTTTAAATTTTTTTTTAAATCTTCACCACGAGGCAAGGGGTTAATCAACCTTTTAATTGTGTATTCTGTAAATATGAACATTTGCAAAACGGCAATTCGAAAACATTTAAATTAATATATTAAACACTGTACAATGATAAAGTTTAATATAGCGTAGTTTATATTAGTATAAACACTATGGTTTAATGAAAAACAAAAATTGTTTATTAAATGAACAGGAAAATGAAGAACCACTGAGAAATGAAACAGAAATTGACATTCCCAAATGAAAGGTTAAAAAGTTATAGAATTTCACTTTGCTTAACACCTGATATATATATATATATATATATATATATATATATATATATATATATATATATATATATACGTATAGTTTTTATCTGATAAAAACGTCAACTGTGTAATAATTATTTATGGTTTTTTAGATGTATGACATCGATCACAAAAACATGAAGATATTTGTAAAGAGAATTGATATGTTGACGAAAATGTAAGAAGTATAAGGTACAATTAAAAAGTTTAATGGTACCGATGAAAATGCGACTTAATCCAGATAACATGGACAAAATGGATGAATCCTTTTTGGTTAATAGAAAATATCATACTAAAATATTATGTAAGATAAAGCGATGATTGTAAAAGAAAAGATTACAGTTTTCTTTAAATACTACTTAGGTTAGTAACGTGACTATAGCAAAAAGTGGACACGATTTTTTGATCGTCTCAATGACATTTTTTATTTTCTTTCCGATCACTCGCTTAATACTATACGTAATTATTAAAAAAACAAATGTCTCTCGACATTATAGTATTTGTATACTAGAATATTTCATTATTGTATTAAGTAAATGCGTTAGAAAAAACTTTTTTAATGAAAGTTATAGTAAGTAAAAGTTTTGTTTCTTTAAATTGACGATGTTCTAATTAATTCCGTATTCCTCTTCCTTCTGATGGTATTTACAAAATATAAATACTTACATCTATAAGGAAATCAACATGGAAATCTTTAATACCAAATATTATTAATTGACAAAAATGATTAGAAAAATTTGATATTATTATTATTACCGAATAACACATAAATATAATTGGTAAAATGTACAATTGATACGTAAAATTGCTGCTAGTCCATCCAATAATAACTACAAAATCACTAAGCATATACTAAATAGTGGTAATATATGAATAAAAAGCAAAAGGTAGTTTCAGAAATAAAATCTATACAAAATATAAGTAAAAAACTATCGAATATAAATCCACAAATTACCATTACACTGGGAAGAGGTCATTGGTAACAATGGAAATTATATTGTTCAATAAGTGTCAGTAGAGTAAGTCAGAAAGATATGTATCGCTTGTTTTGAAAGAACTAATACACCATAAATATTGTTAATTCTCAATAAAACAAAATATATTTATAAAAGTAAATTACATATACGAAGAATAGTCAAGTATGCATCTGCTCAAGATTTAATTTAAAAACAACAAACATTTAAAAACATTTAATTTAAAATTTGAAAACAATTGAAAATATAGATGCTCAACAGTCTAAATGAAATCGGACCATCTCATTCGGAATTAATTTATATGTATTATTTTCTTTTATGATAAAAGTTCAAAGTTTCCGGCATTAAGAATAATTTTCCACCATTTTTCTAGCATTGCAGCTGGCATCATCAGGTGTCTGAGAACTCATCGATGCCACTTCCTTCTAATTCAAAAACAGACAGACCCATTTAGACCTAATGGCTTCTTCATGCAAAAATATGATTCAAATTCAAAAACAGAACCTTAGCCAAGTGTATTTTATTCTGCATCTTTAACAGATTGACCGCCACAAGAATTTTAATCGTTTTGTATAATATTACTTGTTCTTTCGTGACGAAAGCAAATGATATTGAAATTGCTTATTAACACTAAAACTACCAGATGGGTCATAATGACCCATTCCAGATTTCTTCTTCTGCAATTATTCGAAAGGTAACAGATCTTTCTCTAAGAAATTATTAAAGAAATTGATTTAGCAATACGCAAACTGAATTATAAATCAATTAAAGTCTCAATAGATACACTCGTGGAGTTTCTATAGAGGAATTTCAAAAAGTCGATTCAACTGCTCGATAGTTTTAGTGTTAACCAGTGAACTGTGGAATTTAGTTTCAAAAGTCTCTCATGGTGCGCGCAATAAAATCAAATAGTAAAGCATACACTCGTCAAACACAAGGCAAATGCATCTGTGATATATTCTAACAAAAAACTACAGCGAAATGAAAAAGAATTACATGTTTATCTGAAAAAATAAAGAATTGATCGTTGAAAAAATTAGTACCATTTTACGTTTCAAGGTGACGTGTATACTCGTCGAACGCAGTTAATTGGTCAATAGTTTGGTATCATAGTTCCTGAGTTACACTATTTTTTAATTACTTGGGTTATTGAATATTTTGATTCGACATCAGTTTCCTTCATGTAATGTGGAAGTCAAAGTGTTAATTTCTTGTCGTGATTCTACCACAATTGTAGACTCATCCTATACGTACATTACCGATAACGAGAATAGTATTCCTGTTATTGAATCTTGTTTCGCAGATAACCGGGGAAACGGACATCGATACTATCTCAAGTTACCACAAATATTTCTGTCAGAATATTAAATTGTATTCTCAGGTGCTTCCGTTCGTAATGTTAGGAAACCTTTCCCATTGACGTGAATTTACGTTAATTGAGTTTTGAACACGTGAAAATGTAGCTTCCGAAATGTTCCTCTGTATACGCGACACCGCGGGAAACTATTGTTACACCTACAATGGCGGTCGTTTAGGATAACGCGATCCGCGTGAAGATTAGTGGCAATCGTCAATCGGATCATGGAGAATAAAATTTGTATTATTAGTATTGTATTGTATTAAAGTTTTATTATATATTTTAAGGTGCGTCAACCCCATTGGATTATTGACAACTACTTTACATTATGCAGATGATTATCTGTATATAGGATTGTATTGTGTATTCCGTAGTTGTGGATTACTGATTAAATTAAGTGTACTATTCTGATTTCTTTTAGTTTTAAAATATTTGAGCATACTTCTTTAGAGTCTTCTTTTATTTCATATTTTCTTCTTCCCTTTTGGTATTTGTTCATGCCAACTCGAGCGAAAATAAGAATAGTTCTTTTTCAAAAACCTTTCTTTGGTGGTTTCAATTTATTGAATCGTTCTTGCACTTTTTGTGTTTTATGAATATAATCTTGAAATATCGTAGATAAACTTTGAGAAATTGATAGTGCAAACTTTAACTGAGGTTTATGTAACAGTTTAAGGGCCGTACCTTTCTGCTGATGACTTTAAATTGTTGTCAGCATTATTTAGGTAGTCGATCGTAATATAATTAATAATTACAGTATATTCATTGATACAATATTAAAAGGCGTAGATAATAACTTTTCTACAAAAGAGAGTGGGTTTAGTAAGATATGCACACCAAATATGTGATCTAAAATCACTTTCATTCGCCATTTGAAAGTAATGATACGAAATCAAACTTATGTGACACCAGATGATAATAGCTGGCTGAGGAAATTACTTATACGGGATTGAAGTGATCGAATCGTTAAAATACTTTTTGAAGTAACACACATAGTATCTCGTGAGCCAATAATTTAATTTCTTTCAAATTTAACGAGTATCTTCGGAGCATCTTCTTTAATCGTCTGAACAAGTACTAAATTTACGTTGGTATTTGCAAAATTCGCATCTTAAAAGTTAAAATATAAATCAACTTATTCTTAAAAATAGAAATTCCCGTTTTGAGATATTGTCATTTCATCATTTTACACAGTTCTAGTTCAGTACATACTCATGCAGATTACAAATAGTTTAAAATTTTTTACTTTATGGAACTATAACATCCGACATGCAGAGGAGTATTATTTCAGGCACCCTGGTACAAGTGATATAATTTTAGACAAAATTACTACTTTGGACTAACCAAAAGTCCAATGTATTCTTTAAAGAAGAATACATATGGCCATAAAGACTGATCTGAATATGTCTGTTAATTTCATTTAAAAAGACCTCAAGTACATACTGGATCACCTATCGACAAGAAATTATAATAGAGGGACTTTTTAACGGGTTGAAATGAAAAAGTAATTATATAATTACTTAATTGAAAACTTCAAGTTTTTCATTTCTTTTTACGTAGTAATTGTCAGATTGCAAATCATAATGCATTTTATTTCTATAATAGTCTCTAAAAAGTGATAAAACTTGCGATATTTAATACACTCCATGAAATCCTTTGTACTTTATTCTGAATGTATAAAATTTACTAACTCAGAAAATCACGTTCCATTTTATTCAAATATTTTTACATGTATATATAAAGATTTCAATCAGTACAAATTATCGCAATCTAGTCGCGATTTGTACTTGGCAGCTCATCTATTACAATCCAGAATTTATTATCAGGTTTGATTCTTATGTCCATTGCGCGAATTTGTCGTCTGTATACTGTGAAGCTGATGTTGAGACAGGCTCGTACGAAGATTCTCATGATCAGGAAAACAGAACAAACTAGAAAGTTACTGAGTACGTGATCTCAGGACCGTGATCCAACGGTTTGTTAGGTGATTTTTAAATCAAAGTTTAAATTCTATATTGCACATCTGGAATGAGTTTCGTCAAATTCTAACTTGAATTACTCCGTTTACATATGAATATCTTAATTTCTCTACTTACTAAACGTTAACAGAAAAAAATGTAATAACTGCAGGCTTTCACGAAATTGTTGTCAAATGTAGAAAAAAATTCGATGGGTATAAATTTATTAATTTACGTCCAAGAAAATGACAGAATGAAAGATGGAAATTCATTAAAGAAAAATCTGTTTCTTCAAACAAATTGATGTTTGCATTAAAAACTGAATTTCAAAAAATAGAAATGAAGAATGTGTATTTAATGTTTCCACTGCAATTAAAAAAAAAGAACTGTTAAGTAACAATTGAACGTTCTAAATTAATACTAAAAATTTCTATTTTAATGAAGACAAGTTTAATAATGGGTTTAATAAATCAGAAGATACAATTATATAGTTCATTTCAAGAATCTGTGCAAACGCTTGAATGAAACATTTTAATAATTAGTCTGTATTAAGAGGTTAATAATGTTGGATAAAAAGCACTTAAAATATTTAAAGCCTAATTTAAAGCTTGAATGAAATTGTTCGCTTAAATTTAACTACTATACTATAATTTAGCTTAACTATATCTTTCGTATAGAAAGTTCTAATTTATACTCTTGTATGTTATGCATATATATAGGAAAACATTTGAAACAATTCGTGACTATTCAAATAGATACATACCTGCGTGCGCTTCGCGCGGGAATCTTCCTCGGGATACAAATTGCTGTACCTTAAAAGTCTATCTTCTTACAATCGTTATACAGAGCGGATATTTGTCTGATTCCGTGCATCGAAATTCTTCATATTTTATACGCTTTTATAGAAATCACTTTCTACACAGTTTGAACCACTATTGCTAAAACCACGGCGTTGCGGTGACACAACGACGGTCACTGGAAGCCGGATTATACTAGGCTAACAGATACTGCGAGGAGCTATTTCTTCTTAGTCGTCAAAATGAATGCTTCTGCCATCTATAGGTCATGATTTAAATACGATTAACATTGTTGTCGTTAAAGCAGTGAATACCGCCATCTATCGATAACAATTCAATTATTTATTTATATCTCTTTATATAAGAAAATAGCACGAGCAGCAATAATATATAATTAAAAATTATAAATATCTTCTTCTGCTCATACAATGTCTATACATTTTATATTATCAGAATTTTCCTTCAAATCCAACATTATTATGAAATACATAAGTATTTATATAGTCTATAGTATATATTTATTAATTTATTCGATTAATGAATTATCATTATTACTTAATGTTGTAGATCACTGTGATCAAAAATTTATTTAAGCATTGTACTAAAGACTGAAATATAAATTACAATTATAATTTATATGCATTTGTAGTATAATGTATGTATGTAGTATAATATTAGTAACTGTGCATTGCCTCATAATATGTAACATTATGCAACACTAAACAGGCACAATAATTTAGTGAATTTAATACCAAGTATTAATGCCTTGCACTAATATAATAAAATATGTTTTTAATATCCTACGCAATTGTATGTAGAAATCTAAAACCACTTTATGGAACTAATATTATACTCTGGGTTTTCACTTCTGAATATTTGTTCTTATACTTTTAGCTTGTCAAAGTAGAAAATAATTAAAAATTGAATATTGTTTATTAAATAATTCATTGGAGTTTGAAAAATTGTAGAAGTTCTTTTCAGTGAACTTTTTAAAGTTACGATAAGTTATGGAAAAGTTAACTATTTATCGAAATGTGTATAATAGTACAGTGTATTTTTCATATTGAAAAGTAATTCTTCCAAAGTCAATGTAAATTATATTTATATTTACTAAATAAATATTTTATTATAAAATAATGAGCAAGTTCATTACTTTAACTATGCAATATATTGACTATTTCTGTTAAAAAACAAAATTCTTTAACATGACCTTCAATAGCCGTGATCGTCTAGTGGTTAGGACCCTACGTTGTGGCCGTAGTAACCCAGGTTCGAATCCTGGTCACGGCAATGTGAAAACATTGTCACGGAGAAGGTTTAATTTTTAAAAACTTTTTATCATTTTTTAATCATAAATTATTACATAGTCATTAAAACACACAAATTATGTATAATTAATTACTTTTAAGTTTTCGTAATATATTATTAATATAAACATTAATACTGTTTTTAACAAATGTAATCCATATGAAATAAAATCATTTTTTAAAATTTGATATAAGTTAGCAAGAATTAATTTTTCACAATATTTAGGAAAACACCTACTTAAAAAGAAACTTTGTTTCATCAGTTGTTTAAAACTTGGTGTAACCGATTACGGCTGTAAGAATCGAAGTAAGCATCTTACGTTATGAAAAATAAACAAATTCTTCTTCTGTCAGCAAATTCTTTACTGCACGATGAATAAATTGCAGGTGGAATTAGGCGCAACTCCAGTGTAAAGTATAAGCTGACGGAAGCGTATCATTATTGCTGTTACTTTATTTTTTAAAGATCAATTATTTCATGCAACTATGAAAGGAATTCAATATTTATACATAATTGTTGTATTATATTTTATTGGACAATACACACGTGGTGTTTCTTGCGCAAAATCTACTAACATCAAACAATCTGCTCTATTAAAGGATGAGACTTTTAATACACATAATGATCGGGAAGGTAAAAGATATTTATCATTAATTTTAGATATAACAAAAAAAGGTTTAATTTCCTTATGAGTGTTACTGACTATATTATTTGTCTAAAAATTTTAAGTACTTCGTTCACAAAGAGAATTAAAAGAATTAAATTTTACAACCAATATTAATAATTTATCAGAAGAAGGTCGTGCTGCAAGAAGTGTTTTAGGATCTAGACGACATTTAAAAGAGGGTAAGAAGAACAAAAATTAATAAAATATAAGAATGTCAGATGTTATATTCTTTTATACTCTTTTAATTATCTTCAGGAGATGCACATCAAGTTGCAAATTATTTCCTTACTGGAGGACCATTAAAAGGCCATTCTCACTTTGTAGGATCATCTAACTGCAATTCAAACAATGATGAAAGTAACATAGTTGGATTAAGTAACCCAAAGAATGCAAATGATGCCAACTTGGCTGGGAAGGAAAATGATAATAATACTAATTTTTCTGATTCCCTTGTTGGTGTCCCACACATTCCTGCATTACAACCTTATATCCCACCATTAAATTTTAACAATGGTGGACTACATTCTGTATATCATCCAGGATTAGCTACTGCTATTCCACATGTTCCTCTTAGGGGAAATATATTACGGTCAATTTTACATCCTCGCTTCCATCCCCATATTAATAGGTTACACACACTTCCTAGTACTCTCTTTAGAGTTGCTAGTCTGCCGGTACATAGTTTGGCCAATGCACAATCACAACTGCAACATGCACTGTTCCCAACTGTACCTTTACATCAACCCTTATATCAACCTTTACATCAACCACTTCTTGGAAGTCCTAAATCAGTAAGTAACAGTTCAATACAGCGTACTTATATACTTAATGTTCAACCAATAATTTATTTTTTCATTTTCTTTTATTTTAGTTAGGTAAAAGTGAAACCAATCTTGTGAGTGATTTAACAAATTTAAATGGACACTATGAACCTGCTTTAGGTGCATCTCCTGTAAGCTACAGTAGCAAAGTATTTATACAGTCCTTATATAATATTAAACATTTGCAAATATTTCATTAAAGTTATAATTTACAGACCCCTGCAACACAAGTGGTTCACCCTAACTACTTTCCAGATTTACAACCTACTGGATATATTGTAAAATTTGTACCACATAACAGAGAATTATCATCACCAGTTGTTGGTTCGTCACAACAATCTTCTAACTGTATAAATAATAACTTAAATGCAGAAGAAAATGTAGGTTCTGTGAAAAATAAAGATGAGGACATAGATATACCTCAGCAAGATCCAGTATTGGACAAAACTGCAGATAGTAAATAAAATAATAACATTATTAATACTAACAAGATGACAATAAATAAAATACAAAGGTTCAGGGTAAATCTTAAAGATATATTCGTCAGTTTAAGATAAATAGAGGTATTTCATGATCACTTTACAAAGGAAAACTTATTTTTACATAATATATTATTGAATATTATTTAACATATAATAAAATACCATTAAGCATTCAAAAACTGTATTAAGTAATAACTTGTACAAGTAAATAATATGCAATTTAAATTTGTTTCATAGTAACTTTATGTAAAGTCTAATACATATAATTTATTTTCAGACATGAAAATAATTCTTACTTCAATAATAAAGTGCATATAAGTGAAATGTATTTATTATCTTTATTACACTGTTGTTTCCTCATTACCTTCTTCCTTTTCCCTTTCCTTTTTTAGATGATGAACTAGATGACTGTGAAGATTGTTCACCCATTGATTGTTTACCTTGGCGAGTTTTTAATTTGGGTATAGTAGTGCCTAGGTAAAGTAAAAGGGAGTCTCTAGTGGGGAAGTCAGATTTCACAGGTGTACCATCATCATTTTTCAATTGTACACGAATACGTCCTCGAAATAATAATTCTTTGCTACGTTCTCTTGGATGTGATTTATTTTCTACACCAACATTAAAACCAGCTGCCACTAAAACTTCACGGATCTCCTGATGTGTAGGGTTTTCCACACATTTATCCTTTGCAAGCTTTCTACCACCTGCTAACGTTCTTTTGCTGTTTATATAAACCGGATAAATGCAAACCCATCTGTAACAAAAACCAAATCTGTCACCTTCACGTCAAAGAGGTTATGTAGCAGCTGCTAGCGGCGTAACGTGTTTATTGAGTTAACTTTATTGCGAAAACATTATTTCTCGATTGCCATTATGAAAACAGTTACAAAAATTTTAAAATAAACAATTACATATTTAAATGGACATACCTTTCACAATCACTGTGTTTCTTCGACGGATTCCATGCGAGCGCCATGTTTGATATTTGCGATACTGCACGAACCAAGAGATAATTCAATTTTCATTTACGATACTATGTTACAAAGAGATAATTATAATGTATAATTATGAATATGAAACCTAAACCGAAATTAATATTATCATAGAATGAATGATTGTATACTGTTATTAAGAAAAGATTTAAAAAGTATTTTATCAAAATGAAAAAAAATATTTCTTGGGCTCGTCCGGGATTTGAACCCGGGACCTCTCGCACCCGAAGCGAGAATCATACCCCTAGACCAACGAGCCATGTAATAATCATTTTCCAATAATAATATTAAAATAAAATATTAAAAAATAATTAACATTCTCTACGACGAATCAATTAATAATTTAAAAAATGTTAAATACCTTAAGAAGTTATTCTAAACATTAATAGATTCATATTCATAGGTCATTAGATTTTATCGTATTATAAGTTTAAAGATTACACTTCTGTATAAGGTTTAAAGTATCTATATGATATTTAATATCATTTTTGTATTACGTGCAATACTTTTATTTATTATATTGTTAATACCTTCCCAAAATTTACATTAAGAGGTAGATTATAACAATAATCAGAAGTACAGAATTCCGTACATTACTTTATCAAGTATCGACATGATTAGCTGAACTGTCGATAAGAGGCATCAGAGCCTGAAGCACCGACAAAAGGTAGGTGCCTGAACTCGTGAGTGATCTGTAACATCGGTTACGTAACATCTGCAAGTACATATATCTTCCAACTTCAAATTATTTGACTACCAGTTTGTACATTGTGTCAGAGATGGTACCACCAGTCTCTAAAGGGTAAAAATATTTATGTACAAATAAATTTGAGTACTTTCTCTTTTGTTACTTAAACACTTAACTATTATTTTGTAGTTTCTTTTAATAAATCTTTTTTGTGACATTTAAATATATTTATTAGTTATCAACTTCATATGATTGAAAATTAAATATATTTCTTTCGTATATTATCTGTTATTCTTAATAACTTAAACCAAGAAAATCGAGAAGAGAAAATGTTAATATGTTAAATTAATCAAATGTTAATAGAGAAGAAATTGATAATGAAGAATTATAGATAATGCGTAAATGAGCAATCTATTATTTTCAATAATGATTTGATGTGAATATCTGTGTATTCTAGTATATTTATTTAAAAACTGTTAGTAATATTCAAAATGCTAATGGGCATGTTTTGTTTAGAAAGAATGATGTCCGTTTTATATAGATTGTTAATTTATTACTATATCAATAGAAAGTGATGTGTCAATTACAATAAAATTAATTTGGTAATAACTTTGCTCTATCGAACACACTCTAAAGCTTTTTAAATGTAGTATGCAATTGAATTAAATATTTTAAATTTGAGTTATTCGTAATAAACAAATAAATCTAGAAGGTTATAAACATAAAATAAAAGGAGTGAATAACATACAAGTTAATTGTATTAATTTAAATTAAGTCATAAATATATCTATTTCATAAATGAAGTTGCAACACGTATAGATTTTATAGAATAAAAGAATTTTTTCATAAAAGGAAAAGTATCTTTTTTTACATAAAATATCAGAAAAATTGTGTATGATGTAACCTATGTTCCTTCAATTTAAAATTTCCTATTTGGCAAGGAAAGAGATTAACGGTAAATCGTTGGATGAAGGATTTATTCACGACCCATTAATCAGACTTCAGTGGCATCGTTGTGATCAATTGCAATTCTGGCTATATTGCTCTGAATTTTTCTTTTTACCGAGCACAGAATTAAAATTCGTCCTTTACAGGTAATAATTCACTACTTTCTAGTAAATGAAATGACACTTAAAAGTAAAATTAATCTAATATAAAACTGTAGTGACATTAAACGATATTTCCTTGACAGATTGCGCGCCGGCCTCGCGATAATGCGGGATTTTTAGTCTATCGTTTAATTGCTAATCCTATGGTAATGTAACATTTTAGATATGTATGACACAAATCCAAAGTAAAATTTACAAAATCGAATTCCTTATTCTTTTCCGTAAGTTAGAAATTTCGGTTTAATCGATGTTTAAAAATGTATCAATATAATCACTGACGCTGGCGTTTTTAGTAGCTGAAATTTAGCCGTCGTACAATGTGTTAAGAAAATGTAAGATATTCAAATTCACTTAAAAGTATTGTATTTTACGACGAATTAATCATTTTAATGTAATAGTACTTTTTTTATTTTTATATTTTGCAATTTATTTGGATTAATCACGCTGCCTGAAATATTAATAAGATCGTAATTATTTTGGTTGTTTTAATTCTTCGAGGCTTTTCTTCTTTAACGCCAGTGTTTCGACAGCCTTGCGATATCCAGGAGCAGATTTTCTTATTTTTTCCATCCATCTAACAACATTTGGATAGTCCTCCATTTCGAAACCAAAAACCTGCAAATTGTTTTATGTTTCTTTTAGATCAAATGTAAATGATTTAATTAAATACATTCATACAGTGAAATTTCTTAAATCAAATATAGGTACACTAAATGTGTAAAAACGCAATTTCTTTTATTACCCTCTAGTCTATATAGATTAATTTAAAAGTTATTAATTACTGTCTACAATTTTGAGACTTTGTTAATGTACTATGAGGTTAATAAAAAGTAATTTCCAGGAAAGTTATAAGTAACTTTCAATAGGTAAGTAACAAAAGTTCGATGACTTACAATTCAATCTTGATAAATCTAACAAAAATTATTAAGTACAGTTGCAGTTCAAGGTCTCTAATGGATAAAAGTTAATTGTTAAATTTAATATAGACAAATAAATGTTGCTTCTCATCCAGTCTAATAAATAATAAAATATATCTTCTGATTTTATAATGTTCATTCAATCATTGGTACCTATGATGTTTATTTTAATGTAAATAGTAAACTGTATATGAAAATAATAAATTATATTTTAATTCTAACAATTTTTATGAAACCACTGTTTTATTAATGCGCTTTATAACTTCAAATGTACAGGTTGCTCTAACCTCTGCAGTGCACACCGAACAAGTTATTGCTAGATCGGCAATGGTCATGTAACGTCCTGCGACGTAATCTTGTCCTTCAAGGAAATGATTTAGAATTTCAAATGCAGCTTGTAATTCTGTGTACCGTACTGGATCATATTCTTCTGCCAAGCCAAATGCAACTGGGCCCTGTAACAGATTCCTTAAAATAAAATTTCACGAATAAATTTCCTTTTCACAATACATATGAAGTAGCAAATGAAACTCGACATTTCGATTCTGATATATTTTAATATACAATAAAATATGTATGGAAGGAACGAAAATAAAGGTGTTTATTTATCCGAAAGTAAGTCACGAATGTATAACGGATATTTCTTGCACGAGATTTATTTTGGTCGAACGACCTGAATAATTTAAATTCTTCATCTGTTTATTCATAGAATACATTTATACCATTAAAATTAATTTTTAAAAAGTGCGTCGATCTATATTTTCAATGAATTATTGTGTATGGAATAAACGAGGTCGTGAATTCCAAAATAGCAGAAGTCCAATTTTTAACGTTATTCGTGTGAGTTATTGATGGAACTGTTTTCAGCTTACTCAGACTTATTTAATGATACTAAAAATATTGAAAAATTGATTTGCTCGAAATGTTGATTGATTAACTCGTGCTGTTTTGGAATCCATGGCTCCGAATACTGTTTGAAAAAATACCACTTTGCTGGTGTTAGCGGTATCCGAACGCATACATTTATCCGAAACAGAAAAATAAAATAGATTCTTAATTTATATTAATGTCGTTATAGTGTTTTAGATATTCAAAATTAAAAATTGAAAACTGAATTCAAAAGTGGATATTAAAAAATCGCGCATTTTAGCTCGTAACATTGAAATTTTGCCATTTTCCGATAATTCTGTCTCTTCTGACATAACCATAATTACGACGCTAACGATGGTTACTGTTATGCATGTAAAAAGACGTAACAATTTCAGACTGACCTATAGGGTAGTGTCTTTATTGTAATAACGTCACTCGGAAAACGAGTTTTGAGATAAACGCAGGTTCTTAAAATGGCCGAGTACTTAGTCTTCCCCCTAAAATGCTGTATCGGGCAAACTACTGTGTTGTAACATAAATAAGTTCGGTTATATTCAACATTTCTTTTTATTACTAGTATCTATCACGAAACAGTGAAGTAACATTACTGGCTACAAGTGGTTTCTTATTAACCTTCGAAGGGTTGTTATTTTTTTTGTATAAAAAAGAATGTTTCTTTTATGAATAATTCGTGTCTGCACACAATATATAAAAAGAAAATTGAGAATTTGTTGATCTTCTAAAAATTAATTAGAATTATTAAAATATAAGTTATTCTTACATTCGATTTTATTTTACAACATAATGTTTCTATTAGTTGAAATTAAATAACTGTATTTTCTTGGAGGTAAATACTTTCAACAAATGAAAAGAAAGTAGGTTGTTTTATCAGAATGGCACTTGAAATGATTCTGGGATATGTTTCTGAATATGGCCATTTCTGTTATGTCTAATTATAAATTATTTCTACTTTGAAATGTTGATGACTGTAAAATGTATTTATTATTCTTCAATGAAGATTATATATGCTAGGTATGTTATGTTTGCAAAAAACGGAAATAACTTATTATTATACGTTGAACTGTTTCTTCTGCATTCTCTCAATCTATAATATTATTGAATAATTTTTAAATATTTATTGATATTAAATACTTATGAATATTAAATATATCTGAAATTAAGTCGGATACGCATAGAAAATTGCACAGAAACGTATAGAAAATAAAATAATTTAAAAAATGGTAACAAATGTTCAAACGAGAAAAATACTTGCATAATAGTTCAGTATTTTTTGGTATAGAGTGCCTATGTCGAAATGCAATCGATGATTGACCAAAGCCCGAGCATTCGGTGTTTGTGGATTCAACCTGGGGGATTTGCCATACTCATCCACCAAATACGACATAATGGCCCGGCTGCAACGTAATTGTATAAAAAAACAAACTCGTAAACGTGAACAATTTCTCATTGCGCTTGACATTATTTTCACCAAACGATTAAATAGCGTGCGACGTGAAACCATTAATTACGTACCTCTCGGTAAGTTTTAAGTCGCCATCCACAAGAAAGGGAACTGTTTTCTGCGGATTCAACTGTAACAGAATATTTCATATTTCAGCTTCCCATTGTGACAAACTTCGTTTAGAATCTTATGAACTGCAGCGGCGAGGAAATGCAAAACGATAAACAGGCCAGACACAGTTAAATTTATAAAACATTTATGGTTCGTCAGTTGGTTAATTGTATTCGCTTGTAATTTAAAATACAGAATAATGCGCGTTAAAATTTTCAAGAGAATATATATTCTATTAACTCTGGTTAGCAAGATCATAAAACAGTGGAATTTTTCTTTTTTGAGAAAAGTTTTCAGAAGATACGTTCCATAAATTTCTTTTCCTCGAAAAAATTTTGATTTCCTTTATGAAAATTCGTTATGCCAATTAACACTGAAACTACTTCACCCGTCAAACTGGCCGCTTTCACTGTTCTTATTTCGCAATTATTGATATCTTAAAAGTATTAAATATCCAAATTAATTTAAAAAATAAATAGTTTCACTTTAAGACTATAGTGAATATGTAAAGAAATCCAAAATAATCTATTGCCACAATTTTTTTAAGGATTACATATTAATCGTATTAAACACTTGGTATAGTTCTAGTGTTAAAATAGCCAGAGGATATTCGATAATTGACTAAAAAAGGGTTTTTGTATTAACTTTTAACTTTGCTTCAACTGAGAGAATAAAGGAAATTGAATTACTTGTTTTTGGTAGAATTTTAATATTTAAATTGAAAATAAAGTTGCAGTTTAATTAACGGGTTCATAAAGCAGACTTTTAATAAAAGAGTTTAACGATCATTGATGTTTAGATCCCAGAATAGTTTGCAAGTTCCGTTTTTGCAGACTGATTCGCTGAAGCAGGGATTAATTGGAAACAGGAATGAGTTATTCATATGAAGAAATTGAAAACGATGTAAAAACGTCACTTAAGCATTTACATTTACTCGTTTTCCCGGCCTTTTCACGTCTACAAACGCTACAAGTGCATAAACATCCGCCGTCAATTCATGTTTAACTTGCAATTCAGCCGTGTGCTCCTTTCATGAAGAAATCTCTGTAGAAACGAAACCTACAAAAAATCCTATTTGTACCAACCTGTTCATATTCTGGCTTCAGATGCTCGCCGGCCATCAAATCGATTTCCTTCAGGTTTAAAGGGAAACCAATCGCTTCCGCAGTTAAAAGAACTGCTTGGCAAGGTGGGCTCAGTGGTGTGTAATATAAATCCACCGTCATTATCGGAATGACAAACTATATCGACGAAATGACTTCTGCAAAATAATCGTGATATCTATCATTGAAAATAATTATGTATATATTATGAAAAGACAATAGATTTTATTGTATATAATTTTATTTAGAGTGATTTTAAATGATTTTTCTCGAGTATTCTTTTCTTTGCTAGAGTTAATTAGAAATGTTAGTAAGTAAGGTGAAGGAATGTTCAATCATTTTTTAGAGACTGTGCATATTACGCACCTATTAGTAGGTGCAACTGATGCATATTAAAACAAAACAAAGTAAAAGTGAAAAAATAAGCATTTTAATCTCTTTCATGTTATGTTTACAAAAATTATTTTCAAAATTGAATGTCCAGTTTTAACAAAATTTATTTTGTTCTCACGAATTACCAAAAACGTAAAATCTCTTTAACATATGTTCTTTACTCATTGAAAGACTAAAAGAGAATATTTTAAAATTTTGGATATTTAGTTACATTACGTAAATGAAAAAATTAATATTTTAAAAACTTTTATATATAAACACCTTTATAAATTCAGTAATCGTAAAATAAAGAAATGGATTTCGCAAGTTGTAACAAGTTCTTAACAAGTGCTAAAGAATTGTTTAACAAAATTTTCGTATATTTGTTGTGTATGTTGTTATACAATTATTTCCATTATTAAAATTAACAAATTTCATTCATAACATTTAAAATAGACTTGGAACTTCTTAGTGGGAGAATGTTTTGTCCTCGAGTACAATTTGACAATATTGCATGTTTTATAGACTAAAACGTAAAAAGAATATTCATTTACATACTTAAAATAAAAATACATGGATGTATCCTCCTTTTAATACTTGTTATTCTTTTCTTTTACGATTATTTTGGTTGTTTTGTAACTTCTATGAAAAATTCCACAGACTATACCACGCGACAGCGAATGCACGTGGAATCTACAAACATCGGTTTTATTGAAAATTGTTTCACTCGAGAACGATGTGCATAGTTCAAAGGGCACGTCGTAAAATATTCCATTTACTTCGACCATACTTTTTATTCTCTATACTTTTGATTGAAACTCGTAAATCCATCATCTATAAGTAAATTTACACTGTACATATCTTGTATGAATATGTTATGTATGTATATGGACATATATATCATTTACATAGTCCAAGGGGAATAGATTGTCAAAACTGTTAATATATTTGTTACTGTGTAATAATATAATTTAGTCATAAATATTAAAATATTTAGATGAAGTGAAACGATTTGTCACAACAAATATTATTTTTACATTTATAATATTAAAAAATATTTATATATTTATATAAAAAAGGTTATATAAAATATTCAGGTGGATGTAAAATTATTACAATCCGTATCTCCTATTGCTATCTTTATTGTGTTATGAAATAAGCTACTCATTACAATTATTTATTTCTATTGAATTTGAGGAACTTTATTATCATTTTCAATAAAACACGCTAATAGTTCATGAAATATTTCTTCATGAAATGAAATAACTGTGTATTAAAATAATTAAAAGTTTAAAGTAAATACTATGACAAAACAAATAAAAGTGAAAAATTCAGTAGTTTAATATAAATATTCGTAATATTTGTGATTCTACTATGCATTGGAGAACAAGGTGTCAAATATTGATTGTAAAAACTACGACAGCGTGACCATTCCTACGTCGAGCGTTTAACAGACAATCAATACGCGAGAATAAAACACTCCACTGTATACTGTGAAAGAATCTGCACAGTGTGCTGTGTTGTGATGGAACATAATAATGGTTTTAGAAAAAGAGTGACGTTTAATTCAATATTTTTTCTTCTTTTAAGAATATCAATACGTCAGTAGACTTCCACTGCATTTTACAAACTTCAATGCCATGTGATCAAATGATTGGTAATAAAACTGTTACCTTACAATTATAAAGTTGTAATAAATGGTAATTACTGTGGCGATTAGTGTGGAATAAGAGGTATGTGAAACATACACACTGCTCCGTTTATACAGGTGAACTAAAGGCAGCAGACCTTCAACGTTTGTGCTGATATGTTCAATAAACATGGTCTATATAGAAGACACTACTGTATATAGTAATGGAGATAGCACGGTGGGTGGATCAGCCCAATAGCTACACTGAACGCCATTTTTGTTCAATTTATAGCATAGAGAAATATTTTCTATTAATTGCAAAATATTTGTGCAATGCTGGAAATAGTATTATATTGTTAGATTTGAATAATTTCAACTTATTTTAAGCAAAACATGTTGTTTCTTAATATATATAATACTTAAAATATAATTTTTGTTTAGGTAATTAAAAAAAGGAAAAAAAGGACTTTATTATAAGAATAATGAGATCTATGCAAATTTGAGTGAATACAGTTTTGTAATCAAAATTCCATATAATGTTCAAATGTTCTTTAATTTGAAATCGGTTTTTCTTAATAATATCGTTTGAAATTGTTATAAAATTTGAAATTTTCCTACATGTTTTTTATTAATAATATTTACATAAATTAAATTACCGTATTTTTAAATATAAAAATAATAGTATAAAATACATCAAATTTTATATTGACAATCTTACATTACAAATACAAAGAACTATTATATCAATCTTCAATCATATTTTAGTAATTGAAATTTAACTGTAAAATTAAATGTCTGTCGAATTCAGATTTGAAGTTGTTAAATCTTAAATTTCCAATGGCTTTCGCAGAAGATAATTGTGGAATAAAATTGTCGATATATCAAATAGAGAACTTACCAATACTCGAATAGCAATTAACTGCTGATTGTAATACTGTCTTTAATATAATGGCGGAAATTTCGATTCAAGAGAAAGTGTTTTTCGTGATTCCGTAAAAAAAGAAACCCCGATTAAAAGGTGCTGTTCACTGAGTATTACATGGCAATTAAAACGCTTCTAAAACAGAGCTCCGAAGTAATTAGCAAGTGAGCATCGAATCAGAAAGACTACTAGCGAAGTAAATTGGCCGCATCCCGAAGAACACAAGGCTACCATAATTACTGGGTTAATTAATTCGTATTCAATAGCAATCATACTATTCGTTGAATCGTATGATAATTCGACTTTGTACAGAACAATTCTCCTCATACAGGAATATAGAAACTTTTATTTGATAATTATATTTCGTTTAAAAATACATTTTCATACACTCGTAATACTACGTTTACCCCGTTTTTTAAAAGTCTTTAAAGTACCGTAATTTTTTTCTATCGAATTTGAAAGCATTATAAATTAGGAATTTAATTATGAATTTTGAGTTTAATCCTTTATCATTTTAAGGTAATTACACAGTTCGGTTTTGTGATATTCTCTGCACTGTTACTGCATTTTCTTATATTTTTTGCAATTGACAAGTGTTCCACAAAATTTTGTACTTTTACCATTACAGGTTTTAAGTTTATTATATGTCTTATGCATGTAAATAGCACTTGTTATAAATAAATGTGTATATACATATATTTCATGTGAATTTTATAAAAAAAAGATATTTTTATACTTCTATTTGTGTGCATAAAGCATATTATTATCTCTTTAACCGCATTTATACTCAGTTATGGTATGCACAAGTTTTTTAAGCAAACTCGTATTGCAAGCTTGATATTAATATGGATTTCCAAAAAAGTAGTCTACACAGTTCCTCAAAATAAGTGAATATAACAAGTATGAACAGATAAGACAAGAAGAAAAGTATTAAAGTTCGATGACATGTGAAAAAATGGCAGACTATACGACGTATGAAGGTTAATAAATATTACATTAGCAACTCCTGCCATATCCAGCAAAAAGTTGATGGACTTTGCGATATTTTAACGACTCCAAGTTTACGAGGCTCAATGTATTGTAAGAGAGTGTACTGTAATAAAAATTGCATGTCACAGCTTTTTTAGCGTGATAACAAACATTCTTTCGTGATGAACAACAGTGTAGTGATTCTAAAATGGTTTCCAAAATGATTTTCAAAATGTTTAATTGTAATATATGTAACATAAATTACAATAATTAGTATTTTCTTTTAAAAAATCTTCTGGTATAGATTCATCTTTTTAAAGAAATTGCTGAAATTGTTTTTAAATACAATTTTTTTACTCACGTTTTTTCATCAAATTAAATAAATCAAACCCTCAATAAAATTATTAACAATTTCATTATTATTATATCCATAGTTTCTTAAGAAAAAGTTACTTTTCTTTCGTTTCAATTAGTTATATATCAACTAGGACTTTTGTTTGACTTTTATCCGAAACGGACCACTGCGGGGGGTTAAATTTCGACCAAACAAACTCCGCATAAAATCGTGACGAAGTAGTATCATTCACTTTCATCGGGGAAACGCCTAATTTGGGCGAATCTCCAAGGATGGTGCAGCTGAATGAAAGTAGCGTTCAACCTTTGTACGCGCGACCGCGAACGATTCCTCTTTCTTTCTCGCGTGGTTGTCGTCTTTCGCACGTCGTACACGAAAAACGCGAATAAACGCGGCGGGATTAATGGCCCGGGTCCATCACGGTTCGTATAATATTCGCATGCGCGATGAATTATAGGGGCCACGCCGAAGAAGCGCACACTGAAATGCACGCGGAATGGATAAGCGCGCGACACGAACGCTCTATTTGGAGGTGTATTTAAACTTCTGGGTGAGTCGGCCGCTTCCATTCCGGCGCTGGCCCGATTGTGTATCGCATTAATAATTGTCGACTATGCGCACGTGAGGCCGTTGCACCCGGATCTCTGCCGAGCGGTTCTCATTTGTCATAGGACGACGCTGAAGAACCTTCTGTTACATTAAAGATTCAGTAACTCTTGGCCGGTTACCTGACGCATTACGACATAGACGCTAATTACCATTTGCAGCTTGTTTTTTTCTTTGACCTTGCGAATAATTCTTTACTTCGAGGGAAATCGTAGGTTCATTACCGAACGGGAACCATGGTTTAGGGTTGAGTTGTCTACTGTGTCAAATAAAACTATTTATTTAGAAATATTATCATCCCATAAATAATGCAGTGTTTACATTTCTTTTCTTTTTAGAAATAAAGATAAACTAAACTGTTTATAATCTAAAATGTATTTTCCTTCATTATCTGTAAATAGTTTATGTATACGTCATAATTATTTTGAAAACGTTTTGGTTATCTTTATTCTTAGAAATAAAAGAAAGATAAAAAATTGTATTATTGATGGCCTGTCCCAAAATAACTTGCTGCGAAAGATTTGGGAATTCATCATTTCTAGCGCTATCAGTTGTTTGAAGATACTGAAAATAATGTTTTGTTACAATTTTTATAGGGATTGTATATCAATCGTATTAAATGGGCAGTAGTTCTAGTGCCAACATCTTGGTTCCAATTCTCATTGTGCGCCATCTGCAATACTTCAGTTTGGATCCAATGAAAATAACAATTTAACGGTAGATTTATTTTGTAATGGAGATTGAATGGTTGTAATTAAAAAAAGAATGCAAGGTGAAGTGAGTAAGTAAGAACGTTTACTGGCTTTTTTTAAATATAATATGAGTAAAATTTGAATAACTAACATGTACCAATCTACTAAAAGTGAATATCAACCCTTTGACATAGGTGTTGTCCACTGAGTGATAGGATAAACTTAAATAACATATTATAATTTGGTAAAAATCATAACAGGCTTATTAGCACTAGGTTTACAGACATTTATTGTACAATTTATTCTATTGTTCCTAGAAAAGTTGATGTTCGTTCATTTGGATCTTGGAAACTAGGAATTTAAAAACACGCAATTAAGATACATATGCGAGCAACTGCATCAATCAAAATTGATATAAACATTTGTGGGTATGGATGGTTGAGCGTGCCTGTGGGTGGCCGGTGTTGTTTTGTAACAAGATGGCGCCGGCTTGTTTGGAAATAAGGGTGACTGTTCGTGAAAAAGTGGAGTGCCTGGAGAAGCGCGAAAGAAGAGTGTTTGTGACCGAGCAACTGGGACCGTGAGAATAAAGCGTGTAGATATATATGTACATGACCGCGTGAATTTTGATTATAGACGAAAGGTTAGGGTGGGAGTGGGAAGGGTGTAAGAGTAAGAAAGAAAGAGCGAATAGAGTGTGCTTTAACCACTTGCCATATGATTTATTTTTCAATTATGATCGATACAACAGCTTTGTCAGTTATAATTTGTTGAAATAAGATAAAAATTCTGTGCATATTCTACGTCTATGTTTGCCCTAGAATATAATAATTGATGATAGAAGATAAATATTTAATTTAGATTCAAAGGAATTGAGTAGTATTTATGTTTGTTAAATTCTATTTAAAATGTTTACCACGGGTCTCACACGTTGTTGTAAGACAAGGGGTTAAAAGCAAGTGCGTAGTGATAGTGCTTTGTGTGCTCTCTGTTGTAGAATTAGTTAATAAATTTCTGTTCTTATTAACTTTGCGTGTTTTGAATATTTTCTATCACCAACAACATCAAATTTCTTACACATTTATCAAATAATGTTTATAAAATTCAATGTAAACGTACAGAATGAAACTTCAAAGCGTTTTTAACTCATATGTAAGTATACTCTTGCCTCATTTTCAGGGAAAGTGCAGATTGGTTGACGTTTTGTACAATTTCGTGACAAAATGAAAAATTACATGTGATTTATAATTTACTTCTTCTTTCATTTACTTATTGTATTATTTATAATGCAGTTATTTTTGCGGTATCATTGCCTTCCATATTACATTGATTTTCTCCAGGCCGACTTGATTTGCTTTTTCGTAGTTTGGTGCCGTTTTCTTCATCTTCGCCATCCATCTGGTAATATTCGGAAATTTGCTAAACTGGTCGTACGCCACGGCCTGTTTAAAAATCGAGAGCACAAAATTAAAATTAAAAAGTTGTTTATATTAAATTATGGTAAATTAAATTGTACAATTAAGGTGACCATTTTTTAAGAAGTTTTCAGGATCAATTTCATGTCGTTATACTATGTAGTGCATATTTGGTTTATCTTCCAATATGTTTATATACAATACTTATTTATCATAATATAAATATTGAAATGAAAAACGAGGTTATAAAGTAGCATAACCTAATAGAAATTTTATGCAGTGTGTCCATATTATATAAAATGTATAGTAAGGATATGATTAGAATAACAAAATAATTAAGCCTTTAAAGACGGATTTTTTTTAAGGAAAATAAAAGAGGGAGGCTACATTTCTAATACTTCAGTTGATGAATTTACTCAAAATGATAGGATAAAACAAAAAAAATACAGCCTGGGACATATATGTTCCAATTGGCTGGTGTACTGGGACATATATGTTTCAGTCAAGTTTAAATTAAATGCAAACATATATGTCCCAGTAGTCTCGAAAGAGTAAAACAAACTTCTACAAGTTTATACTCGATGTGACCTCCTTTTTCAAATACAGATTAATTTCTGTTGCAACAATCTTTCCCAAGGTTAAATTTAACATAGTGAAACATTAGTTTATTACTTATCTGCAAGATTTGTATTTCATCAGTAGTTCATAGCTGACTATGCATTTATAGCCCGTATACAAATTTATGGAAAATTATAAAGTATAAATGATAGTCAAATATAATGAAGATTAACTTTATTTTTATTTTATTAAAATACTGTATAAGGAAAATTGAATTTCAATGTCAGTATTTTTTTTATCGTCTATTTGAAAATATGCAACATCTGTATAAACTTGTACAAATTGGTACAAAGATAACGCTCATTCGTATATAGTCATCACAAATAGTCATAAGATAAATGGCAAGTAAATTATGTGAAATTCTATGGTTATTTAGCGAGTAATTGGTGTTAAAGATTCCCGTAGGACAATTTACGTAGAAATTTAACCCTTGGAGTGCTAAGGAGCGATTTATCGCTCCTTTATGTACTTGCGAAAAGTTTTGTTTGATTTTATTAGTAATAAAGGAAGACTAATATGTTTTTAGTATTGTGTAAAAATTGTATGAACTTTAGAACTATACATTTTTGTTTATAATCGTGCATCTTTGTTTAAAACTATCTGGCATTTCTCCAATATGTATGAAAATTTCTCCTGGCATACAAAGGGTTAAATAAATACTAATCCAGACCTAACACAAATGACTAATCAATGTGACCTTCCGTTAGGAAATAAAGATGTACCGATTTTGGTAATGCTTCTGTAAATAAGAATATAATGTGCGGTACTACTGGGACTGTAATTCTTATGTTGTAAAAAGAGACATTATATTTATACAATCTTTTCTTACAAATCCATAGAATTAAACAGGTTGAAAAGTGCCAAGGTATTTCAACACTTTATTTACTGGACAATTATTAATAGGTTCTTTAATAACTGTTTTATATAAAAAAAGCAGCTTAATAATTTTTATTGAGTGATAGTCTTAAAGAAAAGTGATTAAATTATATTTACCAAAACGATTTGTTGGATCAGGATTGCAATTGTTATTGCTATTCAAATACTTATTAAGAATTTTACCTCTAGGGTGGTAACGCTGGTCATAAGAGATAAATCAGCGATTGTCATATTCTTTCCCGCAGTAAACTCTTTTCCCTCGAGGAATATTTCGAGGAAGGATAGGGCCGTTCCGATGAGCTCGTGTTTCGCTGGATCAAATGGTGCATTATGTATTAACATGGAAAACTGCAATAAATATATCAATAATGATTACAATTAATTATTCCTTATTTGATCTCTGTCAAAATGTGTTATTGACGGGGGTCAATAAAATTATTGATTACAAATTTGTTACACACTGTTAATATTTACGAGAAAGATGAATGTAATATTGTGAGTCATAATATAATTTTATGATACATAGATTGGCAATGAAATCTGATGAAAAGACGAAGTATAAAAGCATTAACAGTACAATAAAATAATCGAAAATACTGATTTCTGTATTCCATGAAATTGGTTAAGTTACACGAATTTAGGAAAAAAGTCAAGTAAATACGAAGCTTACTCATGTATATCAATAAACATATCAGTTATGTCACGTTTTACAATATTGTTATTACTTTTTAATAAAACAATTAATGAACTTCAGATATACGTTATTTTGTTTTGTTTTTAGACACAGAACACAGTGTTAACCCCTTGCCCTATAATTTCGTGTCAGACTCGTAAAGATTTCAAATAGAATGTAACAAACATTAATATTATTTAATCTGTTTGAATTCAAACTATGTATTATTCCTTTGTTATCAATGATTACAGTTTAAAGCACACGTTGACATAGAATATGCCTAGAATTTCCTCTTAGTTTCAATAAATGATTAATAACAAAGTAGTTAAATCGATCACAGTTCAGGAAGAAATCATAGGGCAAAGGGTTAAACGCATAAAGACTTTTTCTTTATCTCTCATAACTTTGTATTTCAATGATGACAAGACAACTAGATAACGTAAAACGTATGCGTACTTTGTATCGCGGTAATAAATTATTCAATAAAAGGGTAACTTACGTAACAGTCTGCAACGGCTCTGGACAAGGTGCAAGCATCGAAGAACAGTCTTTGATTAACGAGAGTGCGTTTCTTGAGATCCTTCGGGTATAATGAGTCATTCTTGCCGTACTGGTCCACTAGGTACATCATAATAGCACGGCTACAAAAGAATGAATGAACCATGCAATATTCATCTGCCTTCACCACAGTGTCGCGGATTTCTGACGCAATAATGTCTCCATTGGGCTGCGACAAGATCATTAAAGAGGGAATGTTTCTATGGAATGTTAGCTAGAATATGCATATTATAGAATATTAGTTCGATACAACCAATTTCGCGAGTGGAAGAATATCTTCGCAATAATTGTTTAATTTTAGCTTTTCAGAAATTGCATGTTTTTTAGACTTAAAACTAGGATTACAGAAACTTACGATCTACGATACAAATTTTTATCATTAATAATTTATTAGAAAAAAAATAAAATTTGATATTTATTCTATGTACACTATGAAGGTTAACAATTGGCAGCAGAAAAATAGTGTTTAATTTGAATTGAGCAAAATTGAATATTTTAATTTCTCTACATCAGTTTTAAGTCTTTGTCACGTGTCTGACACAATATTGTAAGAGGTTAACACTTAACACTCTAACCGGCAATACTATTGTCAAACACAAGTTATATGAATTCAACCTTTAAATCTTTTGTGACGAAAGTAATGTTGACGAGTATTACTGATATTCAATAAAGTGTATAATAGCTGCAATTAGGTAATGTTCTGTAGTGATTCTTCTGTATCTCTTTCCTATTGGTACGCATCAAGTATTCATGCGATTGAGAGCAAGTTCACATGACCCTATTGATTTCAATAGATATTATTAAGTGTAAGTTATACGAGGATTGCTTATTTGTCAACATTGTCACGTCAGTACACATTAAGAATGTTTTTATCGTATTTCAATGGACGTTGATTTTTTACTGTTATAACCAATTCCACAAAATAAAAACAAAATTAACAACGTTCGTATCGAACATTCAACGTATTTTGTATTTTTGTTCGATGAATATATACAATTATTCACTACTGTGTTGATATATTATTTCAATCGATTTAGTTCGTTGATTTTGTCTTCACAAATAATCTGTTATTAGAGTAGTAAGTTAGTCATATCTGTCATGCGAATAATTGCTTATATTATTGATCCAATACATTTCATCAGCAAAGTACTGAGGGGTTAAAATAATTGATCCCATTTGGTAATTGTATTATCAGTGATTGGACTGGTATACACATTTCAATACAGAAAATTTATGAAAATTTATTTTCTTGTCCATCGTTAAAAATTCATATATTTATATCAGTGTTCCTTCGTATAAATTACCTATATAAAACAGTTTTTACTTATCTGTATTACGCAAATGACTTCTGCATACGGAAATAAATGTTAGCGTTAAGATATCTTTACCTTTCCCATAAGTGGAAACCATCGTCGTCGATTGTTGGAATCATGTGCTGAGGGTTCATCTGTAGGAAGAAGAATGTTAATTGCACCCTACTATGACTGTATAGTAGAAACGCAATAAAATTTAATGATTAGAAAATTATTGAAAAATAATGATATAAGTGAGATTATTCATAAAAAAATAATACAAGCAGAGAAAGAAGGTGAATTATGTAGTAATAAAAAAGGGAATTAAACGCGAGATTCGTAAACGTGAAATCACTATAACGCGGTATTTTTTAATCGCATTATACAATGAACGTTGGATAATTGCAATACTGATCAGGACCAAAATATTGTAATCATGAAGAAGTACAACGCGTGTGAAGGAAAAAGAAAGACTGACAGTCGAAGCGTTCGGCAACATTAAAGGCTCGCGGTGAGCTTGAGATCTTTAACTCCAAAATCAAACTTTTTTATTTTTGACTTCTGATAAATGAAACTTTCATCATTATGTTTCTAATTAAAATGACACAAATGCGACAGAATTACGATTGTAATTTATATAATTTTATTTAGTTATAGAATTTTATCATTTTATTAATATAAAATTTATTACAATTTTATTGATATAAAAACTTATATAATAAGTGATTGGGTCATGTTACACCATTCGGTATCGTGAGCTATGGTATGTCAAAAGGAGCCTATTAGTGATGTCGCGGGAATTCTTACTTTACATGTACTTAAATTATTAAGACGTTTTTGCGAAAGATTTTCAATTCAATTTGTGTATTTACACAGGTACACGACTAGGTGACCCTTCGACTCTCAAGAAATGTATTGTTCTAATTTTTATAAAAAAAGTAGAAATAAGTCATTCTACTTGCTCGGTAGTTTTAGTGGTAATGTTCACTTGTGCGTGGTTCTACTATAGTTTAATTCTTTTCATACCTTCAAAAATTCGGGCTTCAAAGTGTCACCATTTGGAATGAGGGTTTCTTTGAAGTTCACTGGAATTCCGAGCGCAGAGATCGTTAAGTATACAGCACGACATGAAGGACTCTTGTCCTCATAATAAAAGTCGATCGGCATTTTGGTTCCTATAATGACAAGTAAAATATTATTTCAAAGTTATTCAACATTAACACGTAGACTGCCACGGCGGTTACCGACGACCGAAGCTACCAAATTACACGAAAACAATCATAATTCGTGAGATAACTAATGTTTAAGAAAAATGTTCAATAACCTAAATACTTAAATAATAGTGTAACGTAAAGACTGTCATACCAGGTAATTGATAATTGTTCCTTTTTATCTTTGTTACGAGAGAATAAATAATATATAACACACTGTAGTTTCCAGTGGCAGTCAACATGTTAACCAGTTAACTGCGGTTGACGTGTATATATATGCATCATCTTAAAGTTTAAACTAATTCTTTCAACGATAAATTCTTTATTTTTCAGATAAACATGTAATCCTTCTTTATTTTGCTTTGATTTTTCATTAAAATATACCATAGGTGCATTGGTCCTGCGTTTGAAGAGTACGTACTTCATTTTCTGATTTTATTACGCGCAAAACGAGAGATTTTTCAAACTAAGTTCCACAGTTAACAGGTTGTTACTACAAATACATACAGGTGCATTTTCATCATGGTACTGCGACTACAGAGGTGTCTAACTTATGTACTCTCCCTATACTACTAACTCGGAAACAGCGTTCTCTCACTGCTTCTACTTAAGGAGCTGCCCGAGATTGTGTATGTGAGCAGTTCTATGTAATATTCAATAGAAACAAGTAAAAGTACTTAAGTGCGTAGTGGGTAATTTGTCGTAAGGGAGTGTCACTAGAGTGACAGTGGGAACCTAGTTAGACTATCATCGAAGCAATTAACCAGTTAACTGTGAAATTTAGTTTGAAAAGTCTCTCATTGTGCGCGCAATGAAGTCAAGCAATGAAGTATGTGCTCGTCCAACGCAATGCACATGCACTACTAACATATTCTAATGAAAAGTTAAAACAAAACGAAGAAAAATCACGTGAGTATCTGAAAAAATAACTAATTCATCGTTGAAAAGATTAGTGTCATTTCAAGTTTTAAGACGATACGTATATTCGTCAAACGCAGTTGACTGGTTAAGCATGAAAACAAGTGAATCGAAATTATAGATATTAATATGAGATGGAGAAAGTACAGACTGGTTTTTCTAAAATTGCACTGTAAACCCATGTATTTTAGATTGTTTTATCAATATTTGACATTGTTGGTATCAAACGCATTGCGCAGGTATTACTGTTTAACCCTTTTCTCTATGATTTCTTTCTTAATTATGGTCGATACAGCTACATCATTAATGATTTATTGAAGAAAAGAGAAAAATTCTAGAGATATTCTTCGTCTATATTTGTCTATATTTTCGTCTATATTTTTAAAATTTCGCTGATATTATAATAAAAAAACCAGTAAATGCTCTTGCCCAATTTACGAATTTACCCACTTCATCTTACATTCTTTTTTTAATTGCAACGATTCAGTCTCCATTACAGAATAAATCTATCGTTACATTCTTCTTATCATTGGATTCAAACTGAAACATTGCAGATGGCGCACAATGAGAAGTGGAACCAAGACATAAACAATACAGTACAACTGAGTAAACTGAGAGAAGTAGAAACAATTCTATATTTTCTTGGTACTTAATCATCAATAAGAATGATTCTGTGCTCTCATTATCTCATAACAAAGGAATGCGATGCATCGTTTGCATTCAAATGTCTAGATCTAAGAACGAGGCTCTCAAAAGTGAAACAAAAGATACGAGACGAACTTTATCTCAAACTTTTAAGACACGTTTGAAATGTAAATTATAGAATAAGACACAAACTGTATTCGAAACTGTTCAGTTACGTTCGCGATAAAACGAAGTATTTTCATAAATAAACGTTATTTAATTACTTCATTGTTACAACTGGATGCCTATTTAACAAATTATGTCGAAGAAGTGAATATTTTTAAACAGATCAATTTTATCTTATTCAAAACACAAATCGATATTAAACAAAGAAATGTTATCGATTATAAAACAAATAATAAATGTTTCGAAATTTACCGGCGTTTTGAATATTTCGAACAATTCGCGTGCAGTTTCAATTGGTTCCCATTTGTAATACTTTGTGTATTCCACAAACTTCACACAAAAGCTTGACCTTATCAACATCGTTGTCGCAGTTGCTTATTGAAAAACATATCAATCAAGCTATATGCGACAAAAAGGAGCGAACCGTTCTTAATTAGTGAAACAACATATTGGAAGAAATAAAGCGCGCGTGTCGATTGATTCTGGCAGGGAATTCGTAACACAGAACCGTGGAATACTAAAAACTGGGACGTAAAAACAGAATGTTTTAGTGCGGGTTGACGGGGCACGTTTGAAAGAAAAACAAGTATACGTACTGTTTCTATTTATGCAATGTAATAATCACTAACCGTAAAGAACCTAGTTCCCGAATTTCTTTGCAATTGATACGGGGCATGGTATGTAATTTACTTTTTAAGACTTCATATACATATTAACATTGAAATTTAACATATACGTTAATAGTACACTATTATACTTGACAATCATACAACTGTTGAATATAATTAATATTTATTAACATAATAATTAATTAATTGGAATTAATTGGAATTTAACATTAACCCTACCAGAAACCGATCAAATGGCCAGATCTAAAATCCTGCGTTTCCTTTCGTTCAACTTTATATTAATTCCTATATTATACGATTAATCAGTTTTTCAATGTATGTCTTTCCTGTGGTTTCTGTTTTCACTAAAAAAAATGTATCACTTAACTTGCTCACCTTTATTTTGTAGCCAGTTAGTTGAGCGATCACAATAAAAAGAAACAGCCGGTACGTTTAGTGTTAAAATGTCAAAGCTCTGCAATTTCTTAGGAAGCGTACGATTGAAGTAATTTAGTTTTCTAATGCGAAACTTTAAGAAGCTTAAAGTAAGGTTACTACAGCGGACCAGTGGCAGTGCTTCGTCAAACAGTTTAGAAGATACAGTAATGCCCGCTTAAATTTCACTAAAACCCGTACGGTTTTTCTAAGCCTTATCTCCACCCTTCTCTCACCAGTTAGTTCCTCGAGCACGACAAACTCCCTCTCATTAGGCAGGCGCAGATAACGAATAGAATGAAAAGAAAGGTAACAGACACACATCAGTAGGATACCGCGACTGTAACAAGTAAACGTCCAACAAAGAAAATTCTATTTTCCATAATTTTAATCCCATTTTTATAAGCACCAATGGAATTTTACCGATTTAAAACAAATCATAAAATTAAGTACACGATTTCAAGATCGATAAAACTAGTCCAGTTTGCGTTGTATTTGTACTCATTTTAATCGGGAGAATCTTAGCAATCCATTGGTGTTACATTTATGAAGCTGAAGTGAAAATCACTGAAAATAAAATTTTCTCTCTTGTATGTTTATTTTTCTCAGTCGTGGTACAGCTTTGAAGTATTGACTCCAGACGCCTCGCTGCTCAATGTACTGCATCCAACTGTGCACTGTCCGCGAGAATTTCACTATTGGCATCACTGTATATACAACAACGAGGATTCTCGTTTCACAAGAATTTACGTGTTCCGTGAAAAGAATCGAGGGTAGTTCATTTTTATCGGCGAATCGCTAAATAAGTTCCTTTATTTTCGTAGAAGAAACTTCAATACGTGACCGTGCCGCTTCGTAAAACGCGAATCTATAAAATTGTGGCCTTGCCAGCGCAGCGACCCATTTTTCAAACGACATACACCGGGATTAGACGCAAACGTGTGACTTTCGCGGATCTTCTCGTTTAAATATGGAAATCCTGGGAATCCAAGGAGACCGCAAATCCTTTGATTTAACGCCATTCCGAGTGCGTACGCCACCGGAAATGTAGTTCTAATCACTTGCGGTTACTACCATGGAAACACTGCTACTGAAAATATAGGTTAATTATCGATAGTGGTTTTGAATCGGATTGTGCTACGATTCGGGTGTCTGGCTTTAAAGACAATATGAAAATCAAATATTAAATTGTTTGTGATGCATTGATCATATCCATGTGTGAGTTACCATGTCTGTAAATTTTTTGGTGATTGTTATAATTTTATAAAAATGTTCGTTTATTAATGAGCATATTGGTATAGACAAATAAATAAACTTTACTTTATCTTTAATTTGTTCAGTTTTAAGAAATTTTCTTAGAATTCTGTTTCTGTACACATTTCGTAAAGGACTAACCAAAAGTGACAAGCCAATTTTGATATTGACAATTGAGGTCGTGAATTTTTAACGTAATCTAAGTGATTTGTTCATGTAATCGTTTTCTGCTTACTCTGATCTATTTAATAATATTCAATAGTGTGGAATATTAGTGTGTGTTCTTTTTTTAATGTCAATGCTTCTTTCTAACGAGCTTTCAACATTTAATCTATTGACATTATTAAACAATTTTTTAAAATCACTAATTAATAGCTAGAAATTTCTTAATCAGTTTTTTAATAGAAGTAGATATTATAATTTTGAATCGGCATTTTTCAATAATTTATTAGACGAAGTACTCTGTTGAGCTGTTCATAGAAGCCGCGGCAATAAGCACGCGCTGAACATCGAGCATCATCTTCGACGCGTCCACCCTCGCGTTTTTGTTTCGTTCAGTTGTTATGTACGCGTTCCTTCTCGTAGTCATGTGGTCACATGATCGACCGTATAATATGTAATCTCGTTTTGTTAAATATATTTTGTCCACTTAACAAATGATTCGTTTATTATAAATCATCGAAGTACATTCATCTTCCCAGTCAGGCATCAAGGTTTATCTCCTCATCATATTCAAGTAAAATGTTTAAGCTAATAATCAGTTTTGATTCTGAAGTATAATAAATATATCTGGAATCTCCTTTGAAATTAAACAGCTGCAGCATGAATACAAACTGTGAAAATGATAGATGATTACATGAACTAGAAAATAAAATTTACTTTTTAAATAATTATTTAATATGTTTGAAAATAAAGAAATATCAGTGTGTTTATGAAAGCGTGACGGATTTTTTCAAGAATAAACTCTTTTTCTTTCGCTATGGTTGAAAAAGGGAGACTTAAATTAAAAAGGAGCTTCGTTAACAGATGCGAAATGACATTAGGAACCTACACGCAAAAGTCCAAGTCAATTAGTCGAATGTTGGAGTTTTCACACTGACTGTAAAGGGAAAAAGTATTTTCGAGAAAAATGCTTTTAATGTTTTTTTAAGTCCTCAAGCAACCTAGACCGTTTCCTATAAAATGTTGTGGCTCTCCTATTTCTTCGAATTTCTACATCAGACTTCCTTTATAATGTTTTAAAAATGTCAATCTACATAAACGTGTAAAAGAAAGTCAAGTTTTTAAAAATTTTCAATCGTTAATGGTGTTTAAAGTTCGTGATTTTATGGAATTGCTTCAAACGAGCTACCATACCGATGAAAACAACTGGTTTCAATTTCTCCATCTTGCAATTACTTACGTAACAAAAGTGTTAAATATCCGAACTTGTTTAAAAAATGAATACTTTTGTTTAGGTAACGCAAACAACATTAACAAAAAAAAAGATTGTATTTCTATAATTTTTATAAGATATATATATATACTAATTATATTAAAAATTTGAATGATAATACTGCAAAGCACGTACTTCATATTGCAGTTGTTATAGTATAACTTTACATGGTAATTCGTCATTCGATGATTTTTCTCTCTTTCAAGATTCTACTGTAATGAGTTACTTGTTATCAACGAAGAATATATGATCACATTCTCTGTCTCCAAAGGCTATGGCCGAATGTCAATGTCACTTACACCTGACTCTTGATTCACGCAGATTTTTCTTTCAATACTTTCATTGTAAATATTAATTATTTTCTTATGAACTATTGCAGATGTGTTTTACATATAACGAAAAGAATAACGTTGCATAAATTAAGTGATGGAAAAGTAAACAAGTTGAACGATACATTCTTCTTTGTGGAGACAAAAACAAATGGGAAGACAAAATTGGAAAAACTGATTAATCGGACAATGCAGGAATTAATTGGATAAAAAGTTAATTGAACGAAAGAAAAGCAGGATTATAAACCAAATTTTAAAACCCGTCATTCGACCGATCGCGGTACGTTTAATATTAATATAAATTAATAATTATTAATAAAAATTAATGCAAATTAATACAAATTGATATTTAATGTTAATATTGAATTTTAAATTTTATAATTATGCTTTGTTTAATCAAATGACAATTGAAAGTCGCCTCTCGAGTAAAAAGGGTCGAAGATCATATAAGTCTAGTGAACTTTAAAGAAATCATACAATTTTTTACCTTGTTACACAAGAGTTATTGGAATTTTTACTCGTGTCATCCGAGACTCTGTGTAACTCAAATATCGTGTTATCTGAGGGTTGCCTGTATATATTTTGTAATAAAAATTCTCTTATCCTATAAAGGTTCGTTATTGGTTTTGCGAGGTTCCTGTTTATAGAGTTCAGATAAAGATATTACTTTCCTAAATCAATTTCGTGCATTTTTCTGAGGAAAACGTTTTCGTTTTTCATCTTTCTCCAGTAACTCACGGCTCTTGTTTTATGCTCCAACTCAATAACGCTTCCATTTTCTTCAGATATACGGACCTCACTTTGCAGAATACTTTCGTGCTAGCTATCGCATGTCCAATCGTTTCTTTTTTTTACTCGCAAAGATAGTATTGTAATACATACAGCGTATGCATATCTTCAAAGTTGTTACAGTAGTAATTTTCAGTATGAATATTTTATACTATACTTACTGTGCATGACGATAATTCGAATATTTTTATCAAAATCTATGTAAATGATTCTTTAACCTTTCATATAATATTTTAAATTAACCAGTTAGCTGTTGCGACCTCGTTGAAAACTGTGTACTTTATTCTGTACATGTACGTGTCCATGCTTACAAATAATTTTTTCAAACATCATCATTGAAGTAACGGATACCTATAAAATTAGATTAAAAAAATTTGATTGTATCGTTCTTCTTTATTTTATAGAAAAAGAGTATTCGACTTTCATAAAACAGTTCAAATATTTTACAAATTTCAAAGGTCATTATCAATTTTAAACAAACATAAATATAAATATCACGTTGAACCAAATCAAACAACGGTAATAATGAAAATTTACTTCCTCCGGACAAAAGCAGTTGAGCAATAAATATAATTGAAATATCATTTTAATTATCTATCTCCACAAAAGGGAATTCCTGTTTCCTCTCTTGCACGATATGCATTTTAAAAATGAAATAATAAATAAAATTGAAAATCACGCTCTACGAAAGCAAGAGGCAGGAAAAATGGTCGATGGATTCGCAGCACCAGGATACAAAAAGTAATCCGAATTCATGATACAGATGGAAGAGAAAATTTGTGCGGTTCACTCTCTGCGTTGCAAAAGTTCTCGAGCGAGCGTTCTCAATTTCCCCTGTAAAAACATTATCTTCCCCTCGATGATTCCTCGAGGGCGATCCACGGAGCCGGGTCCTCTAAATGGACTGTGGGTTAATTAAATTCAGGAACGGAGAATGCCGTAGACCGGCGGACAGGAATTCCGGGAACGGAAGTAACGGGTTTTTCAAGCCGCGGTCGAGCTGGTTGCAGGGAACCGGCACCAGATTCTGCTGCATCATCGCCGAACAACGACAGAGGAATTACTGTTCCTTGCGTAATTCTTAGAACAATCGTTCTATACGCATACAAACACGCATTAACCTTGCTGCGCTTTGTAATTTATTTACGCATCTGGAAGATTATATAAAAAAATGTTTTATTTATACATTTTAAAGGCAGTAGAATCTTGATAATTCGAAACATTATAATTTAAACCTCGATAACTGTAAGCTTGATAATTTGAATCTTGATTATGTGAACCTCGATAAGTCAGACTTGAATAACTTGAACTTCGATGACTTGAGTCTCGATAATTCGAACCTTGATAACATGAATCCCGATAATTCGAATTTCGATGATGCGAGAAATTTCTGTTTGCAGACATGTATGTCTGTTTTCACCTATAGTGTATAAGTTATTAATCTGTTAAAGTAATTAACTTTACGAAACAAATGGTAGAGAGAATTGATAATATAATAGGCATGAGTTAAGTACTAATCAAGTGGCTTGGCATAAAAATGTGATAGCATCTCAGCAGCTAGGTTAAACGCTTTGGCTTGCAAACTGCATGGTAATGCAATATGATCTTTGATAATTAATTTAAGATATTAGTTGCTTATATTAGGTTTAAAACAAAGGTACATTCTAAAACAGTATCGAAAAATGAACGTATACACTATACATTTAATGAGGGTTATATATATGCCTTCTTCTTTGTATATGTACAAAAAATTTAAAGAAAATATCAAGATAAAAGCGCACACCGTCGTTTTTACAGTCTATCCTCTTGAATAAGTAATTATCTACGAGAAAAATATTTGAATGAGACACTGTACAATTTTCCGTCCGGGCTGGTGCACCTTTTTTATACGTTTAACATAACGTCATTGGTGTATGCGGTGTCCTTCATGCTTTTATTCAAATTTCTCGAGAAAGAAAAATGGAAAAAAGAATCCAGACATGTATTTCATAAAATATTCAATGTAGTTATTTTGATATATTGTGATTTGTATTTATCAAAACGATATAAAATTTCATATCATTTTCATAATTATTAGATTGAGTCCAGCAAAGCTATGCTGAGTATCTTTTCATTGAAATTAAAAAATGCTGTTGCATTGAAAGATACTTTTCGAATGTTATCAATAAGTAAATAGTTGTTTCGAAAATTCACTGTGACTTTTAGTGACGAGTGTTTTCCAAACATTTTTATCGAACAAGATACTAATACGGAATTTCGATAAAAGTGTGTTATGTCACATTAAATTAACTGATAATATACTTTCCGTTTTATACATTTTGTATAATTCATACGTTTTGTGTATTCCATTTAAACGCAGGAACTATAAATAAATAAATAAATTGGTAAATATGATGGATTAACTCCAAATTTATGACTCTATTAATTCTTACTTTAATTTTAATCTATAAATTTTCAAGAAGTCATTTTTTCAACTGGGAGTACATTCTGATTAATTAGTGATTCTGTTTTGTCGTTGAACAGTTAAACTATATTGTTGGAAAATACAAAACTGATTGGGAACTTTCCATTTGTAGTGTATGAACATAGGTGCAGTAAAAATATGCAGTAAACCGAGTATTTTAATCAAAGGATCTTTTCGAATGACTCATGTAGTGATTCAACGTTGAAATATAAAAACAAAAGGTTACTAAGTCTACTAAACTCATTTCTCCATTCGTTTTTCAAAACTAAATAAAGCTAAATAAAGGGTCTAACTGTGTCTCTTTTATCCAGATTTATTATTGGTGTTTTGCTCGTTGCTTTCAAAACGTTAAGGATAATCTATCGGATTTTATGTTAGTGGAATAACACTGGCATCATATTGACTGCCTGAGATGAATAATTAATGAAGAAACGAAATATTTTAAATAAATATTATATATTTACCGAGGTTGGATAAATAAACAGTAATAGAGTAATGGATTCGTTATTTTATTCTTGTTTCACATATTAACTTTGATGATAAAATCATGCAGTATTGAAGCGTATAAAGTGAGTACTTTCAAAGGTTGCCTATATTTTAAGGTCTTTTGAAATACCTGCTCGTTCGTTAATTGTGTGAAACAGAATAATTTAACTTTAGAGAGGTTATTAATAATTTACTAAAAATCTTTACTGCAAATATTATTTATTTATGTACATTTAACAGCAGTTTGTAAATAACGAAATAAGTGGAAATTAAAAATTAAAGAGTTTAAAGTAAAATTTATTGTTATATTATTATATATTTATTGTTACCATAGATGAAGTTGATAAGTTTTTATAGAAAATTTTATCTAAATTATAAATTTATTAGCATCCATAGTAGGTGTGCATTAGCTTTCCACATTTTCAATTCTTTTTCACTATGCTTCAAATTAAATATTTAGGTTTTCTATAATTATAATGATAAAAGAAACCTGACAATTACAGTTATAAGTGATATTATATAAAAGAATAATAAATAAGCTGCAGTTATTTATATAAACATCCTAATCTATCAATAGCTTTAGAAAAATTCGTATTAAATCTGCGAGTTATAGTTTCTACTCTAATAATTGCGATAGATACAAAATAATAAGAAATAGTGTAAAATTCTTTAAGGTTCATACTTTATTGCTTTTATAATAGCGATCTCGTCGTCCAATGATACTCAATATAAATCTTACTCAATCTATTTGATATGATGTTTCAAGTAGCGTTTTTCAGGCGATTTGTCTCATCCAAGAATCCTCCATAGGCCCGTCTTTTTATGATTTTTAGCGGCTCACATTCTATTTCCTCGTATTTAGGTATCTCCGACTTAATTTCTGTCAACCATTTGATAATATTCTTATACCCACTTAAACTATAGTCCAGTACCTAAGCAAAGTATTTTTTTAAATCGAGAAGTTGAAAAAATATCTGTAATTACTTTAGAATGTAAAACATCGGTGAAAACAAATCACTTGTTTAACACTAAATGTATTAGCTCTTTGTATATACTTATTCCTACTGTAACTACATGGTCAAATAACTGATTACAAAATAAAGGTAAACAAATTAGACGATAAATTCCTCTTGATGGAAACAGAAACGAGGAAACGTAAGAATTGGAAAGACTGATTAATCAGACAATACAGGAATTGATACAAAATCAAATGTATGAAAGAAAACTTTAAATCAAATTTTAACCCTTTGAGTGCTGAATACTCCCAGTCGAAATGTTCCGCGTGGACGGAATATTTTCTTTACCCATCTGAAGATCGATGTTAATTCATACACTTAAGTAAGTTGTAATCCAATTTTAATTTTAATTCCTCACATCCACCAAATTGGATAATACTAAAAACGCGTATATTAATCAAATTTACTGATAATTGTTATCACAGCAGATGTGAGATTAACGAATTAACTGCATTTGACGAGTATACACGTCATTTGAAAACTCTAAATGGTGCTAACGTTTTCAACGCTGGACTATTCGTTTTTTTAGATAAACATGTAATTCTTCTTCGTTTCGCTTTAATTTTCCACTAGAATATATTATAAGTGCATTTGGCCTGCATTTGACGAGTATACACTTCATTAGTTGATTTTATTGCGCGCACAATAAGAAATGTTTTAAACTAAATTCCACATTTAACGGGTTAGAAAGGTCGAAGAACACATATATGTGCTCACAGCACTCAAGGGGTTGAAATCGTTTGGACCAAATCATGTAGACCGTTCGGAATATGTTTAGTAGTAATATTATTTGATTTTTATATGTATATACAGGGTGTGACAAGGTTACTGCACACAGTTGATAGAGTGTGTACAATTTACTAAACTGAGTAAAACAACCCCAGTGAACATGGGTTCAAAACTTAATAGTTTCCGTCATAAAAATAGGGTTAGTTTTAAAAAAAATGTATGAGAACCGAATGAAGAATACCGAATTACCTCGAAAAATATCAGAGATACGAACAAATATGTCCAACAAAAGTTACAGAGTATGAAATACTCCGACATTCAGACGTTTCCAAATAATAGACATGAAATTTTTCGTGTAAGCCGTTATCAAGATACCAGCATCCTGATATCTTACATTGTCTTTCATTACACTCTGTATAATACATTTACATTTACGTTGCATTAATGGAAAGATAATGTTAACTACCTCAATCATATTAATAGTCACAACGATGGAGAAATCAGCTATTGTCAAATTCTTTCCAGCTACGTGGTCTTGCCCCTCCAAAAATGTATTAAGCAATTCCAAAGCGTTATCTACTTTTTCATCCCTCTCGTCAGTTCTGTCTTTATAAGTATTGTTCCCGATATGTGGAAACTAGAAAATTTCGTAGCATTCTTAATATTAACTCTCAGCACACGAAGTTGAAATTTAGCAAATTGTGCCCTAAGGTTTTCCATGCAAACCTTAATTTGTTTTATATTGTTTTGATTATTTCAAAGACTCTTTTGAAGTTAATGAAAATACTGACAAAACTCGTAAGCTTTATTTGTTTAACACTAGAACTACGGAGCATTTAATATAATTGATATGTAATCCCTATGAAAAATGTAGTAATAGATTATTTGTAGTTTCTTTGGATATTTGTTACAGAATTTAAGTGAAACTATTTATTTTCAAAATCATTTAGAATATACAATGCTTTTAGGATATCAATCATTGTGAAATAAGAAAACCAGAACCAGTCATTTTTATTGGTACGCTGGTTCTAGTGTTAAGATATTTATTTATGGAACCTAAAAAATAAACTGTATTACTGAATAAAAAGAAGATAATTTTAAAAAATTCAGCAATATGTGTGGTTATTAAGTTTTGTTTGTAATTTTCATCACGAGTCTGACACGTAATTATAAGGAGAAGGGTTAAAGTGCTTATTATTCAACGATAATATAAATAGACTTAAGAAATAGTCAACAAAGGCAGGATACAGATAGATTGCATCGAAGAATAATCTCTGATTAATCACTGCTCGCTTCTTCAGATCTTTCGGATACAAGGAATCATCTTTACCGTATTTCTCCATTAGGTATGCCATCATGGGTCGACTGTAAACAAAATTTTTTTAATCATTATTCTCGAGTTATATTTAACTGTCAACATATATTTATCGTGGAAGAAAATTCTTACAATTAATGAAAGAAACTTGACATTTTTGTGAACTATTTGTCTATATACTGTTATAGGCCGAATTCTTTTTTCGTAACTGTAACAAAATTTATGCAGTATGATATTAATAAATATCAACCTATGAGTGCAAAGTAATTAATAATTATTCAATTAAATTAATTAATATTCAATAGTCTTAATAATCTTATTAAAACAAATGTATGTTATACTTTTAAAGTTACAATAACATAGAACGTTTACGCCTGTGTGTATAAAATATCAGGTTGATTAATTATTTAATTTCACTGGTCATTTTCACAAAAAATTCACTAAATCAATGTAACCCAGTATATTGATGACTTTAAAGTTACACTGGCCTATAGAGGATTTAGATATATTTTAACTAATGATTTTCAATAATTTATAATATTATATATATTTATATATATTTATATATTTATATATAATATTATAAATAACATTTATTTCTATCTCAATTTATTTTCTTTTTGATCTCCCATTGTTCTCATTTTTCTACTGCAGGACATTTATTTTGCAAAGAGACAATAAAAAAGCTACCAAAAAATATGATTCCTTTAAAGTTTGCTGCTGTTTCTTGATGACATTCAACATAGGCTTTGGCGAGCAAAGACAGTTCGCGTCTCGTGAGCAAAACCTAGAGTGAAGCCACGAGCCAAAGTCACAAAAGGGAATGGAGACTGTATTCACAGATCACCGCACCACGAGACTTTTGCTCTTCGAAGTCCACCTGCATGCTATGTTCCACTCTTCTTCTCTGTCGTTTTCCTTTTGCCTTTCATGTTGGACGTCTGTGGTCTAGATCTAATCAGCAGGTACAAACCATAGCTGTAAATATTAAATTAACACCTCTGCTGGCGTTATAAGAGCGTTGTCATCTTTCGTCTGGTAGCACGTGGAAGTAGTGACCATTAACAATTTCTAGACTGCTCGTATATATGCATTTTAATTTCAATTATTGAAATCATTGAAAATTTAAATTATTGCGAACACAATCAATTTTCTCATATTTATTATTCTATATATTATTCTAACTCTGCTGCGTTCTTTGGGTTTTTTTTGACCCAATTACTTTCTCATTTATTTAGCAGCATTTCTACGTGTTTCTATCTATTTTAAAAAATATTTCAAATATATAAATTTATTGACGTGTATGTTGAAAGTAATTATATAATATATCGGAACTATTTATGTATGAAAGTGATATATCTCTGATATGTATTTTTTCGTAAATATCTGCAATGTATAATAATTACAGTAGATGACTTATCAAAATGGGAATTGGTCGTGCACGCTGTCCAGACAGTAATAGTGGACTTGGCGTAACACTTTCACACGCCGAATTAACCTTGTGTGAAATGGATGTGAGGAAAAAAGGGTTCTCCTTTTCTCGTTCGAAAGTGGACTGTATTTGTTGAATATTGAGTGAAAGGAAGTGTATGTGTTTACAAAGTTAAAGTGTGTGTGTTGTCCAGTGAGTACAGTGTGATTGTTATGAACTTATGATGTATGTCTCTCTATATATATAAAAATACTGCGATAGTGACAAATCAGAAGCTAAAACACTTGGGGTGTTGCTAGTCATGGTTTTGACCTACGCCCACATTAGTAGTAGTGGAGGTAGGGGGTACGTTGTCCCTTCTGACCTGCAAAGGTACCGGTGGCTGTGCGCTTGGGGATTTAGGTAGTTGAGCTGCCGCTTTTTAATGACATGCTAGTTTCGACAGCTGGTCATTTATGATACATTTATGTGCCGGAACAGGAATAAATAAAAAATAATACGCTTAGAAAATAAACAGACATTAAAGTGATTTGATAATGTAACAAGTTTTAAAGTAATTTCCTCCATAGTGAAAAACAATTTTATAATATTATGAATTCGACATAAACTATAATGTACCTAGATACTTTGTTTAGTCTTAGTCTTGCCTCTATGTAATCTTGCTTCGTCAATCCCTTTATAATTACATAATTCATAATTACGTCAGTGCGCTAGTTGACTTCATGTAAACAATATTTTAGTCTTGTTCACGGCATAGGATAGAGGAAAACAAATAGACAGTGGACATTATAAATGCACAGAGTATATAAATTTACAGTATCTTGATAAAATATAAATCCTCATAGTATAGTGCAATTTTTAAAAATAAATCTTTGTTTTTAATCATATTTTCTGTTATATAAATATGTATTACAATTGACTACAAATAATTTATTTTCATAATTGGAAGTCAATTTTGATCGGACTTGATTTAAAAAGAATAATGTAACAATTATTTTAACAGTCCACATATGTATATGAACCCGTTACTTTATGATCTTTCTCCTAATTAAACTCGCAACAATTACCTTATTGGGATTAATACTCCAACAATAAAAGAAATCTATATTTATTCTAGGAATAAATACATGTTAAATTCTCATTTAATCAAACCCATGAAAATAATATTCGTATGTATTTGATTCAATGTGAAGTCTTCACAATATACGAGTTTGATTCTATATTTTAAGACAAGAGGTTAATAAAAAAATACAATTATTGCTTATTACGTTGTTTTTGTGGATTGATCTGTATATAATATTAAATACATTCAAGCTTAAAGTTAAATTTGCGAGTAATAATTATATTTTTTTTCCAAATCACAGCAATTTTCAGTGATTATACCTTGAGTAATTCCGGCGTAATATGTTCCATTGTCAGAACTGGCAGTTCTTTGTAATTCATGTCGAGACCGATTGTTCTAGCTGTTAAAATAATTGCACGACATGGGGGGCTGGTCGGGTAGAAGTAGAAATCGATCATCTTCGTATATGTTTATAACAATTATTCGTTATCCTGTTAACCGTGGAATTCAGTTTCAAATATTGCTAGTTTTGCACGGAATAAAATAAAAAGTTGAAGTGTTTTAGGTTTCTCTGTTGAACGTTTGAATGCTTTGGAAAGTTTTCGTTTGCAAAGGGTTAAAATTATCCTGCTCTAAAACAAAAGAAATCACAACGACATAACAAAATTCCCTTACACTTCGATTTTAATGTTACAGAGCTTAGCAAGTAAACATATTATTAACTAGTAAGTGATTGTCTCGATCAGGAGTGGTAGATAAAATATGAATATTTTATTTCTTAAAAACAAAGGTAATTCTTATAATACGTAAGTACAAAATATGTGATTTTTAATATGTTAAAACTGAAAACACGAGAATAGCTTGGCGTTCTATTGTCAACTGACTAGTAAATATAAATTTTTTTACGTATGTCTGAACAATTCAAGGATTGATAAACATAGTGTACTTATTGGACCTTGAGTTTTTTTATTAACGCACAGGTAGTCTGGAACATGCTTTTTTGTTTCGAGGAAATGAATGACAGTCAATAACTGAACTATAGATAAATTGAACCGATGTTTATGTATATTTTTATAGAAAAAAAAGTATAGAAATTTCAGAAATATATTTTTCATTTTGCACATTTTTTATGCTACATACATTTTGCATAATTTTTTAAATTGATTTAATGAGGAGTTTCTTTAAGATGGACGACTTGTATACAAATTTATGTAAATTTATATATCCATATTATTATGGTACGTTGTCGAACAGTTTTCATCATAATAGAAACATTTAACATTATAACATATTAATAAGTCGCTTTTTGTATGTGATTTGTAAGTTTTCATATTTCTTGATTGGAAAAAGTAATAAAGATATCGTATGCGGTAGACTTTAAATAATTTTATTTCCACTTTCTTTTGACAATCTTATTCCCCTATTTTTATAAATCCTTAGGTCACAGATGTCATGTAATTAGGTCACAAAGATACTATATTTATTTACAATCTACTACGTACAAATATATATAGTACTTATTTATAACTTATCTTTATTTTATACTTATCCTATAGTTATCCTTATAAATGTTGTATAATATATTCAAAAATTTTGAAACGTGTTAAATTTTCTAAATATCTACATATTTATAACACTATTTACTTTCGAAAAAAAATTATAATAACAATAGGTAATGACAATTATTTACAAAAAAACATGTTCATTATTGTCTTCGACGACTCTGGAATATATTGTTATGGTCATTACTTTAAATAACTTTTGTTAAATATTACATACATATTATCGCAGCTCGATCTTAGTTTTTGAGATATATCTATACAAAAACATTTTTAACAATTATTTATATATTCAATGCTATATTTTTCTGAGCTTCAAGTTGAATTGTAGAAGTTACTTTGAAATAAGCTTCGATTTTTATAAAGAAAACTGAAATATTACAGGTTTGATTTTTATGTATGAATAAAAATATTATTTGGATTACGATGCAGCAGATTTATAAAGTAATTTAAAGAATCAAAATTCGGTAGTTACACGCTTTAAAAAACAAATACGACACTTAAGGAGTGAACAGTGTGAAAACGTGAGGAAAAGGACCCAGTTTTTAAGAAAATGATTACGGGTAATGTAAAATATTATAGATTACCTATTGTAATGCCATTTGGAAAACATCTTGAATATCTTGAGGGAAACTACTACAAATTATATTTTAAGTGAACCTACACTCAGGGACTAGCATGTTGTCGATTAGGTGGGATTGCAATACAAGGATTTATTCGTATATATATTGTGATAAACTAAACGAATTGTGCACATCAATCAAATAGATGTGTCCAGGTGTGATAAATCGCGCGACAACCGTTTTATACGATAAAGCAAAATTTCACACGTACCTTCGGTTGTAACAAAAATTACGAAAGTTGAGTTGAGATGTTTTTCATTGTTCTCTATACTTCCTCGTCCTCATCCCTTCGAATTAGTAATTACTTAAATTTTTGCGATATTTTTTGGGTGGAAAATAATTTGACTTCGTAGATTCAATAATTATTAATCATTCAATTATTATTTGCGTGGATGGGAGGGAATATCTATAAAAGTGGTATATTGAAATTGTAAAAGATGGGAGAAGGTCACTAATAATGACTCATTACTTAACAAAGAGAAAATGTAATTCAATAAAGACATTTTTTTTTATTTAAAAGAAAAGTTCCTCGTTACACTTTCAAAATCACATGATTTTTTTAAGGAAATTATCAAAATAATAACGTCAAATTTATTTGCTCAAGAAAATTGTAATAATTAGTATTAATTTAGCATTTTAATACAATGATGCCAAATATACAAACTATTCCTAATGCTCTTTAGAACCTGTTACGTGATTCTTATAGATTATAACTCATGAAATTGAAGCACACTCTATTTTTTCTATTATATTTAATTATTATATTATTACTCTCTAAAATAAGTACAATGTAATTGTAATTTATGCTGAATTATAATTGAGATCATTAGAATAGAATAATAGTATCACTGAGATATTAATTTATTCATACTTCAAATGTTCGAAACTTTTGAGTAACAATTCGTCTATTATTTTCGAATTATTTTCATATAAAAGAATGTATGTAGTGTAAAATTAACAAATATCAACCTGCAAATACAAATTTACAATGTATTCAATAATTTTAAGAATTGTATTAAAACGAATATACCTTATAATTTTGAAATTACAATAACGTTGTACTTTCACGCCTGCGCGTATAAAAATTTAAATTAGTTAACCAATTAGCTGTGTTCGATGAGTATACACGTTATCTCAAAGTGCAAAATGGTACTAATTTTTTCAACGATAAATTATTCATTTCTTTCATATATGTGAAATTTTCCTTCGTTTTGCTTTAATTTTTCATTAGAATATATTACAGATGCATTTACTCTGTGTTTGACGAGTATACACTTTATTATTTAATTTTATTGCGTGCGCAATGAGAGATTTTTCAAACTAAATTCTACATTTAACTGGTTAATTACTTAATTCTATTTGTTATTTTGCTATGCAGAGTGAAATAAATCAGCAAGATGCCAATATATTAATATATGACTTCAAAGTGACACAGGCAAATAAAGAGTTGATTATATCCTATGCGAATCACGTTAAAGTTTAATTCAAAAGGACGATAACGATTTGTAACGAGCTGACTTGTAAATTAGATTTTATGCGAGATAGTCCTATTACAGGAACTGCGGGTTTCACGTTTTATCTCGATCACCGGTGAACCATTATCGATCGCTATGGTTTTACAACAGCTAGGGTATCGGCGTTAACTGGGCCCCAATAAATTCTGCTGATACCACTCGGTAAACTGTTTCGTTCCTTCAGCGTGCACTTCTTCGAACCCGAATTTATCGAGGTGCTCTTTGCAACGATTGAACCACGCTGCCACGTTGTCATACCTGCCAATATCGAAGCTGAAACACTGTCAAACAAATACCTTACCTTTTATTCAGGAACATACTTTTCGTTTATTAATTTTTGGTGATCAAATAATTAATTTAAATTATTATCATTTTTATTCATTGTGACAGTGAAAATAAAATGTATCTTCAATACCACTATCATTTCTCTTGTCCAGTAAATTATGGTACGATATTGCTATACATATTTCAAGGAGACACTAATAATATGTTAAAATGCTGATAATATTTCATGATATTGCGAGCGAAAGTAGTGAAACTGATTACCTATCCACATTCATGATTAATTCTTAACAAAACATTTTTTTAAAGAAAATAATTTTGTGAACTTCAAATCGTACTAAGTATTTTGTCTAATAAATATACAATTAAATAAATGCTTCTATCATTGATTTTTGAGGTCTGTGAATATTCGTTGCTGTGGAGACAAATCTGACAAATATTCTTTACAATCCTCAGTTTTTGAAAAATTCGATATAAAAAATAAAGAAAAGAAACTTTTATTTAATTAAAAAATTGATTCTGCATTAACTGTAAACAATACACAAATGTTTCTTGCTGAAAATTATCCCAAATAGAATCACACACATTTTTATTAAGATTGTAGACGTTTAGAAATATTTAAAGCTTAAGGGGTTTTCAATGTGAGCGAACATCGTTCACGCTCCAATTTCTTCGAACAGTGTTCAGTTTGTCTTGGAAACATAGAAACTACAAAGAGATACAAGAAGCACGCCAGTGATATTTAACACCATTGTGTTTGTTTATTTTGCTATTCCTTTCAGTGCTTAGAAATCTGTCTACGACAGGAAAACTAAAACTTTAAAGCAAAATGAAATAAATGATATTCAAAGTATACAAAATTTAAATACAATAAATTAAATTTGCAATATGTACATTTGTATGTTTTAGTATTATATATTTCACAATAAGAAAATATGTATTATTCTAGAATACGTATACATACAGGTATATAGAGTGTCCCATTTTAATATATAAATACAATTATTTCTGGCAGTATTCGTTACTTAAAAAATATGTCAAATGCAATTTTCTCTGTTTCGATCAGTTCTTGACGTTAATAGGTCAGCAATTTTTTATAGAGAGTGAAAAAAATAGCGATGACCTTTACAACTCTTACACGTCCACCTAAAGGCAAATTATTAAAACAAATTATTATATGAAGACAAACCATTAAAACAAAAAGAACTGCACTTGAAACATTTTTCAAATAACGAACAGTTCCAGAAATAATTGCATTTGGAAACTAAAATGAAATACTCTATACATATGTGAATAGGTATGCATTTTCTATAATTAACATGATTTTGCAACGAATTAATTTGTTATAGGATACTTAAAGTAGTTTTAAGACAATGCAACATTGGGTTGCTTGCTACCTTCAACTGTCACTGTTTCAAGTAAACTTTTCTAAGACAACCCCAACAAGATTCAACGCGGTCATCATCAGTCATTGTCCGACGATAGTTCGGTTTAGCCTCACTCACCTTCACTCAAAACCACACGCGGGCTATGTTACTGTATAAACATACATAAATCCTCTCCGAAAGCAGAATGTCGACTTGCAAGTCAAAAAATCTTTTGTGACAATGTTTTAAATGACTGAATGGTATAAAAATCCTTACATCGAACTGCATAAATTAATAAATTAATGAGTTGTAATTAGTTGTGTATTTTGAAACTAATTCTTCGTTTAACTAGAAAATTTATTAAAATTAATATATCGTCATAAAATGTCAGTTGGCGTAAAGCTGAAATTCAAAATCATGGAACTTAACATGCATGAAAAAGATTATACACTCATTTTTAGGTCGCTAATTGTCTAAGATTTCAATATTAACAAAGATTAATAAAAACTACCCTAAATATATTTTTAAATTGGATTACAATTAAAACACACGATAATTAATTTTCATAAATTTTTCAGAGTTTAATAAAAAAAGTGTTTTAATATTACTACGTAATTTTACTATTAAATCGAACACAATCCCTATTAGAACCTATTTGGTCAATGAAATTAACAAGAACTATTCATATAATAATTTCAAACGAAAATAGAACATGTTCCGATATTTAGTGTTTACTTTGAAATAGATAGCTTAATAATTCCTTTCATTTAAGTTAGCTCTCTGCTATCGTCTATTGCAAATAATTAAATCTCTTAATCCCAAAGCTCATGATAACTTCTACATGTAATTACGCGTGTGACTCTAGAGTGTCTTCATCAACCCCTAAGAATGGTTCAAAATATCTCTACTTCACAGATAAGGTCTTCCAACATTTATCAACCTCTTTAGTGTCGCAGTCGTTCCCTGCTTAATGCTAGCAAACGACCGCGTATAATATAGCGCGATAGAGCTAATAACGTAATTCGTGTCTTCATATAAAGCGTCTTAAATCTGCAGCAAATTCATTACATGTTTTCAGTACACGTAGAAAATAATGCACGAAGTTGAAATAAACATTGCAAGATTATTTCATTACTAATGGATTTAGAGGTGAAACACGATTGTACGGTAGACTGTTAACTATAGTCAACGTTTATAGCGAAAAGCTTAATGACGTGATAAAAATTAGAAACTAGAAACGAATTTTCAAGACTTACTTATTAGGTCGTCGTATAAATTCGTGCCACGTAAATTTATACTTCTCGTACTACGTTTTGTAATCACAGTATAAGGATTTTATATTCAATAAAATATTATTTTATGTGATAGAAAAGTGAAATTATTTTTTGTAATTAATTTTCTCGGCAACTGACAATAACAAAGTTACTCTAATTCTTAATTTGAATTTTAAATATTTTCTTTATCATTTTGATAGTATCTTTTTGATACTTTTAACGCAATATTTTTTATAGTAAGAAACTGACGTATATAAATTTATTTCTATTTATTTCATATTAGTACTTCTATAATTTTTTAACTAGCTGTTATCAGTTTCAATATTTCTGACGTATTCGTGAATACTTGGAAACAGTATTTTTCTTTCTTTAGTATTAATATGGTCAAGTAAAATTATGAAGAATGCGAGGGAGAGAACCTTTTTTTAAGAAGGATAAATGTAGCGTCAATTACATTACAAAATTAGAGTAAATCGCACGAGATCTCATGCTCACTGAGAACTTATACATCGTTGTATGTTTGTTTGGAAAACAAGCAAAGGGAAATGTGTACAAATGATTACACACTTATGTTCCTGCATTTATTCCTAATAAAAGAATTTAATTGTGCGTAGTCTGCATTTTTAGTCCATTCACTTTATGTTTTTTAGACTTTGAACTATAGAAAATATTTATTTATATTCCATATACAGACATAAAATATAATTTGGTGAAGATTTAAAACGAAATTGTCCGTAAGAAGAGATTCTATTAACTAATACATGAAAATTTCATTTTCTAATTTGTTGGAACAAATTAAATATTATTTGTAATGAATTTTGTCCTTTACCTAACCAGTATCCATATTCAATAATTTATATGAAGCAAAATCTATGATGACTATTGAAAGTGTTTGTCATATTCAATTTTAATAATTATCTCGATCAAAGAACAAAATAGAAGACAATGTTCATCTGAATCTATTGTTTGTAAAAAGATTCTATCTCTTTCCTATGAATGTGTAAATAACATTATAAGTATTTTTTACTTCCTATATTTTGAAGTTGGACGTTCTTTTATTATGTCATCTGTGACTGAAGACTTACCTGTAAAAATATAATAGATGTACTGATAGAGATATCAGCAATCGTTAGTGCATCCCCTGCAACGAACTCATTGCCTTCAAGGAAAATGTTCAATCTTTCACAGGATTTCTCTACTGCTCGCACTTCACTTTCCTCAATGGAGTTCTTTACACCCAACATGACAGGAGGCTGCAACATCATTAATAGACAATCATACAATGAAGTCTATTTACCATTGCAATTTGGATGTCAAAACCTAATTGTCATTTAAGGGCGGATTTTCACACTGCATGTTCTAAATATCGATTTTCCTGCATTTATCAATGGAACAACATTTTTAAAAGAATCTTTGATTCTAAGAATATTATATTATTTTTTTTTAATTATGTAGACTTAACTTACATATCGAAATTAGTTTATTTACTTTATTTTCTCGGATGAATGTTATAATCACACTATAGATGTGAAAAATAATTACAAGTACTTATGAAAATAAATATGAAGTTATAAAAATGAAGTGAGTAACTTTTATCGAAACATATATGACTGGTATATTTTTTTTAACATTATAGACATTACTTACATGCATTTACTTAAGTAATAATATGTTTATTTATGTAATATAATCCATTTAATATATTGTTTACAGATCAAAATAGAAGAGAATGTTCATTTAAATTTAACGTCACATTTAATATATAGGGAGCACAGGATTCTATTCTGCTAGTGTTTCGTTTGCTATTGAAAACTTCTGCTTTGTTCTTTTTTACTGGCTGATCATTACCCCTTTTGTTCCTCTTCTTTTCACTGTCGATAAATTTGTGCAAAGTGCAATTAGAAACAGAGAATACTATAAAATTTAAATTCCTGTTTATAAATTTAAACAAAATTATGATTACTTGTATTTTTCCCTATTTTTTATGACAATGTATACTCATCAGAAATGCACTATTTATTTAGCAGAAATAAATAGCACTGCACTATTTAATGCAGAAATGCACTATTTATTTTAATAATACTCATCGTTCGTTTGTAATATTTTATACTAATAATACACACTCAAAAAGTATTTTAAATGCAATGTGTCTAATATTTTATTGAAACTGCAGTTATTTATTCACGTACACAATATCAGAATTCATATATTTATAGAAACAGTATTAATTACCTTTGTTAACTTCTGAAATGCAGATTCAACATATTTCGTAATATTCCATTATATTAATCCTCACAGATTTTAAATAAAAATGAAATATTTGATATCGCTACGATAAGAGAAAATGATTTATCATCTATAAACGTAAATCAAATTCCAATAAATGTATTTATTGTTAAATTGATAGATTATTGTTATTGATAAATTTATTGTTTAAATAAATGAATGCGTGACATAATTTATTATGTTACATATTTCCTCCATTCCTTCTATAACTCATGTTTTAAAGTCATGAGCCATTTACCGCACGCTCGAGCCCAGAGTTACGTAAATGAATTCTTTTTTCATTTCTCTGTTTTCATTCTACCAGTTTACTCGACTGTTTCCTCTGAGTTTTTGTTCGATGTCTGCCTTTTTTATTGCAAAACATAGTCGGATTAAGGAACCGGTTACTTTTGCAGCGAGATTGTAACGAGAAATGTAGCAGCACTTTTTGTTCGTGAATCTGCGTTATCAGTTCATCTCCATTTTTCTAGTTTAACGATTGATGCTATTTGCAGTACAAATTGGATTTTTTTAATAGCAATTCATAGAGAAATAATAATGTATGAAACGAAAAAGTAGTAAATCATGTTTCTTAAAGTAACTAACAAAATAATAGAGGAATAAATTAGTTATTTCATCGACTAAGTAAAATAATAATTATTTGATGATTTGTTCCAACGAGATAAGATAATTTTACACTAAAATGCTTACTTTGAAGTAATTTTATACTACTAATGTTCATATCTTTTAATTAATTCTATAAAAATAATCTTAAAAAAATAAAGCTTTTTTTAAAATATAGGTACCTATTTAATTTTCTGTCCTTAATATTACCATTGTATAGAATTTTCTGTTTGCTTTCAATTTATACATTTGCATATCATTTTTATTGGTAGATAAATGAAGATAATATAAAAAATAGTAGATAAGTGTAAAATTCTTCAAACAAGACGAAAATATTTTCTTCTCATTTCCAAAGTCTTTTCTCTCAGAAATTATCTAATGATAATGTACAAGAAAAGAAAATACATAGTGTTTGATTGTTCTTTTCAACTGATTATTTGTTTGTTATAATTTTATCGGTTTGATATTGTGAGGAATCGGTAATACTAAATTGCAAGATTTTAAATGAAAATACATACATAACATTTCAGTATATTCGGGTAGAGTGTCCCATTGTCGAAGAATAGCATTTCGTCCACTTTGGCTCTCTTTTTCGAATCTTTGGGGTACAATGAGTCATTTTTCGCATACTTGCTGACTAAATATCCCATGATCGGCCGGCTGTGAAGAAGTAGTTCTGTTAAGAAACTTCAAACAGCCGAATTAACCTTTTGCACTCGAAAAGTATTTCACAGTCGCCATTTGATTATACATTTGATGTATTTTAATCAGACATGGAATATTGAAATAAAATAATTCTATCCCTTAATTCGTATCTGATTTATATATAATATATAAATACAATCTATATATAATATTGTCTAAAATTTATATATAATATTATGGAAAATTTAATCAATATTTCATTAGAAACTTATAAACAGAGTAAACCAAGACGAATCGAATCAAAATAAGAGTCAAATCTACATTTGTTATATTATAAATTATATATCTCATTTTTCGTTTCTTCTTTACAAAAGAAAGATTTAAAAATGATTTCTCATTTCTAATAATTAATGTTCAAGTATTTTTATTTACACACTGTCAAACAGAAAATGATCCGATTCGTATTGGTGTACCCTCTATCTAGCAAAAAACTTTCGAGTGCAAAGGGTTAAAATCGATTATTACACACCTTTCACATAAAATGAATCCGTTATCAACTATGGTTGGTATCATGTGCTGTGGATTTATCTGAAAGATGTACATTTTCGTAAAAGCGGAATAAAATACGTGTTTAAATTATCTAAGACAATGTAACCATCTGAAGCCTCGAGACATATTTACGACAAAATATTTTACGATTTCGAATTCTTTTCATAATAGTTTAATAACATTTTATTATTGAAGTAGTATAATTTTGTTTGTCATCTTTGTCTGCTTTTAAGTGAGTGCTCAGATGAAATACAAGGAAAAACGATTTGAAGTGGTACAGGAAGAAGAAAGAATAAGAAGAATATTGCAGAAAAAAGAGAAAGAAAAGTAAATTAAATTAATAAAAAAGAAAAATAAAATTTATGGAAAGAAGGGTGATAAAAATCTCGTCAAGAGAAAAGAAGACTAAACGAGAAAATTGAAACAAAGCTTTAAAATTGTGTTTGGTAATGTATATAAGTACTCCTAACAACGTTGCTGATAAATTATTAGATGTTATAAAGAACAAGGGGAAAAGCATTACGCAAATGCTTATTAAAAGTGTTGAATACTGAACAGACGGAAAGAAAAATAAGTAATTTCATATTTTTGTGCAGTTTTAAACGCAACTGGAACAGTAAGTTTTCTCTCTTTCAAATGACTTTTTACGATTGCGTTTGAGAGATATAAATTTTTATTTTAGGATAATAAATAAATATGTCAATATGGTGTTCAAAATTGTTTGAATTTATAACTAAATACGATACTACACACACAACCAATTAATCCTTTAAAACCCAATGATATCTAGCAAACGCATTTTCAAATTGATTTATTTCTGTAAATCATTTTCTTAAATAATTAGTATAATATTTATGAG